ATCTGTTGATGTAGTAACAAACACATCTGCCGCGTGTAGTACGCTCCAATGACGGACTGCATTTTCGAAATTTATGTATATTATATATATAGATATACAATTTGAATATCTGCTCGAAAAAGACAAATTTTTTCTTGGTACACGTCCAAAAAATATCCGTCGATTACCCATGACCAAATGGCGTTTTTAATAATTCACATTTGCGTTTCTATGCCCTATAACCTTACTATGAATATCATGGGGTATATATCAATTGGCCTTGGGTCTAAACCAAATGCAAAGCATATAAGCCACTCAATTGAATCTAATCTGTTTGGTCTTTTCGCTATTTGATCTCCAGAACTATAACCTCCACAATATCGAAATATACTGAAAATATCATAATGAACTTAGCCAGACTATCAACCAGTCGACCACTTTTTACTGTAAATTTCTGATTACATAAAGTTTTGAGCCTTGAACAACAATTCCTCTTCAAACTTGAACTTGAATTTTGAATGCGAGTGACGCAGTCTCAACCAGTTTGCCAGCGGCAAAAAAACGACAATGTTCTATACATATAAATATTTGCATTATATTATTATTATAAAAAACAGACTTTCAGCTCAATGGCCAAAGTAAACAGTTAACGGCTGAAAAAATACGTCAACACAATTTGTGTTTAAGTCTAGCCTCAGGTGTCGGAAAAACCGGAAAAACACACAGCCAATAGTTCATAATTTATTGCTGACAGCAGTCAATATTGGGTAAGAGTCAATAAAATTATCAAGTAAATAATTTTCCATCGTATTTGCTATGGGTTCTATTTTTATAACCTGAATTTAATGACCATGGGCAAAAGGGGTCTAATTATGTTGTGCGAAATTATGTAATAGGTTTCCCGGCGTATTCTATCCATAAATGCTGGATCATTTTACAGATACCCCCAGATTTATTATATCCTTTATTTAATTTTGCCTTTAATTACTTTTTTGTAACTTAAAATAATTTAATTTGTAATTTTAACATTATTTTAATTTTATTATATTGTTATATAATTAATTTTTTTGTTTTCATTTCGATCTTTTTTAAAATAATTACTGCATTTAAATTATGTAAGTTAATTAGTAAGTTTTTTTTTAATTTCATTTTTAATTTGTATTTTGGAGCACTGATTTTTTACACATTGTGGGCTTTTTTAGTACACAATAAATTAAATATACATTGTACACCTTTTTTACTATACATTAATCTTTATTGTGTGTACCTTGACACAATATTGATCATCTGTAGAAATTTCATTAAGGTCACCTGAGAAACGCGGAAGACAATTGTGTTTGCACTCCACAAGCATTTCCTGTGTACATGCACACATGCACACACACACACACACACACACACATGTATACACACACAAACATGTGCACACAAAGTGTATGTGCAATTTTTAAAGGTGTTGGTTTGAATATCGGCGAATGTTTATGGGTTGGTAACGACTTGTGCTTAGGTTATCTCCTAGTCGAGCTATTTCGACTCAAGCATTCTTATTTTTTCTGAATAAAACAATTATATAATTTTATTGGGATATTACTTGATTGAAGATACTTTTCCCATTCAATCGGTCTTTGTATTCTAGCACTCATAACTATATTTAGAACTACTTTTCCTTCATTGTCAGTTCATATTTCCATGGCTCTCATTCTTGTGATTGACCTTCAATTGTTCAATTAACTTGTGTGCCCTTTGTTGAGGACACGTTTACTTAGTTGTTATCTATGCCCACCCTAGTAACTTCAGTTGATTTAATGATGACTAATTTAAGTCTTGCCGTTTTAAATTTATTCTATTATTTTTTTTATAGATTTCTTTAATCTATTTTTAAAACCAGACAAATTGGTGTTTCTGCAAATTGTCTATCTTTGCCAGCTGCTATATGAAAAAAGCCTTAAGTCGCTTAACGCCTTCGATTACCGGTTTAATGCGGTTAAGCGATTGGTTAACGATTTTATATCAGAGTCACTGAACTTGAAAATATTTGTAGATAATGTTTGCCCGGTCTGCTCAGTTTGCTGCTCATTTAATCACCTCTTTGGCTTACTGATGGGAAAAAGAATTGCGTTGGGGGGTAAATCAATTTCGAAGGCTATCCAATTGAGAATTGTAGAGTAGAGCATTGAGGTACATAGTTTATAAGAGGGCTGTGACGCAAGAGAATGAATACATTTTCCGATCATTGAGGATGGGTAAATAGAACTTTTGATTTATATTCGAATACAACAGCATATCATTTATCTGAGGCCATCACAACATCAATATGAGAAAAATTCCATTTTCAATTGATTTGAGGGTAAGGCAAAATAATTGAGAAAACGGTCAATAAACGGAGGCTGTTTGCAGTTTTATGGATATCGCGTCTCGGCATTGCACTTGACTGTTGACAAAATATCAACACATCAATTGCTCGAATTACTCGAATGCTCAGCTATAATTTGTATAACGTCTGAGCCCCGGGATCTATATAGATAAGCTGCAGCCGTAATGAGATCATATTGTATATATTAATTGTAATTGGGGTGTGCTATCAGGCGGCGGAATTTGCAGCTTTGCAGCTTTCGCGCCTCCAAATTAAAATCACCTGTTATCTTCAGCGCTGATAGTCCAGCAACAAAAACAGCAGAAATGAGAAAGAAAGACAAATCTTAGGCACGCCGAAGATAATATACCCTATATATTATGCCGACATCTACATTTTGATAGGGATTTCGATATATTATTTTATTTTTATAAGTTCTCAACTAATGCTATTTATTATTATGGAATGTATGTATATTTTGTATATTATATCAGAAATAGTGGCATGTGTGTATAGGTATATATCGGTGCTTTATGTTTTATATTCTTTGTTTATATGGGAGCAATTAGATGATTATGATTTTTTGGCCAAACGTGAGGAGGATAATAAGACGCATATTTTGTGAGTTTGATCTGGTTATCTTGTTAAGCAATAAGATTTTAGTACTAGAACTTTCCTTTTGACCGATTGTTCTTATGACAGCTATATCAAGAGAGCTTTAAATTTGTGTTCTGCTTATGTACAAAAATATATAGTTTATGAGTTCCACACTTCATGACAAAATTCTATTACCCACTAAAAGGGTTTTAAAAAGGAGATGGAATAGCAGAAGATATCGTTTGTGTACTTAACTTTTATTGTAGCCATTATTATAGCAATTAACAAGCGGTATCTAATTTTGTGTGGCGCTAAGTGCACTGGATCTATCCAGTTAAAAGTTAAAATATCGCGTGGTGTCAATATTTACTTGTGTGTGCAAATAATTCGGATACCATTTAAAAGTACTAACAAAAAAAAAAAAAACACTCGACTCTGATTAAATCGATTGCCACTTAACAATGGAAATTAACCAAAAAGTTAAAATGTGTAAGATTTCCAAGTTGGACTATACCAATTCAAATATCATTTTCGTTTTATTTTAGCTATGATTGGAAAAATAACAATTTTTATTAAAGTAAGCAGAGAACTTAGTTATAAAAATATAACAATTTGGAAATTCTTTGGAATTCTATATTATAAGAGATCAGAATACCATATAAATAATATGGAAATTTGCTTTATAGCATCTGTTTTGATAGTTTCTGCTAAATATGTATTTTTCAAGAATTTTTTCGATAGTCTGCTGCATATTGGTAGGCAAAAGTTTTCAAAAATAAGTCGTATCGCTCCAATATTTTGATTAATAACTTACTAGTTCCGTTTAATCGAATTTTTGATTTTCCGCTTCACATTTCAATCGGTTGATTTCGGTTAACGGTTCCGGTTTTATGTCATATTGTTAATAAACATATCGAAAATCTTATCACAAATAGCTTTCTTATTAGTTAAAAGAAATGGTTGAGCAGCATTCACACTCTGCAATTCTAGGAAGACTTATACATATATAAATGAACATTAATTTCACTTCTTCGGATCAACTTCCAATCACAGAAGCACTTTAAAGCAAATTGTAAATGATATGGCTTCAGTTGCAGTCCGATATTTTATTTCAACATCAACAAAGTGGGAGATTCTATTTGTTCGGCTACGCGTGATTTTAGCACATGTACTTATTGTTTACTACTTTTAATATCAATTGATTGCTTTTGATAATCTTTGGGCATACAATTGCTTTGGGTATTAAAGTCATCAAGTGGGAGTGGGAGTCTACAAGCCAAGTGAATTTTCTGGATCTTAACCAGTTTCCGTTGGTTATTGTGGCAGGTCGGTCGTTGAATGTGTGGCCTGATAAGCATTACGATTAGGATAGGTTAGGTTGTAAATGGTGATTATTGTGATCGACATTGAAGCGAAGTGATCAAAAGTGCTGTCGGATATTAAAAGGTTGTTTGCCGTTGATTTTGAGATACATTTGCCTGTTGCCTGTTCTATTCAGTTTCTGTCTGCAAGTCGACCCGGAGTGTACTGAAGTTACCAACCAGGAACCGAAGCGTTTGTTGTTTATAATGAATTACATAAAAATTTTGATTTTTATCTTAAAAATGTTAATGTACAAATTTTTTTTAAATTTCTTTTTGCAAATTTTTCTACTTGCCCCAGGTAAGTTCCAGAGCAGCTCTTCATAGAATTTAATTGCTCGAATGCCTACTCTGCAATCCTAAAATCCTTTTTATTTTTGTCTTCATAGTCCGTAAAAAAGTTTTTTTTTTTTAATGTTAAAGACTAAATTGAGTACTTTTCCTAATTTAGTGTTTCCTTGAGCAGACCCGTCTAAAGTGTTTTTTAATCTTCTGCTTGCAGACACTCGACAAATTGCACCTAAGCATAGAAAGAAAAACAGGACAGCTAAGGACAACACACGAAGTAGAAGGGCAACACACATGCAAACATATATTCGGAAAGTGTATTATGCCCGCAGAAATCGATAACTCAGTTGAGTTGCGAGTCCAAGTCGAAGCGAATACAAACAACATAAATCAACAAGGGGCAGCAGCAACAGCAGCGGCGGCAGCAGAATGAAGAGCCGCACGGAAAAAGATTACGATAGTGCTGCGACGCCGGCGTTGCAGCAACAAATGAATCTTGCCCGCCGCGCCTGCTGGAACAGCACCACAAATCCCAATAACAATCCCAATACAAATCCAAGTCCGAGTCCGAGTTCTCCTTATGCTGCTTTCGAAATTCAGCTGGCTGTGCCTTCAACCTGTCAGCTGGACAGTCCAATAAGTCTTAAGCAAAGTGAGCCCTGCCAGAACCGGGCAAGAACGCCCCCATCACCACCGAGTAAGCAACCAACAGCAACAACAACACCACCAACAACAACAACAACAACAATACACAACAGAAAGAGTCCTGGCTGCGGCTTGCAGCGACAACTGTTGCTGCTTCTATGCGGGATTTGCATGCTGCTGGCCAGCATTGAGGCACGTCCCAATGTTAGTGCCAGCTCCAGCTCCAGTTCCAAGACAACGGAAGCACTTAATGTAAGTATCGCAATTAAATTGATTTCGATCTGGTCGCCAATGTATTAAAAAAAAGAAATAGAGTTGAACAGTCGCAGTTACAATTAAAGTTTATTGATTGACTTTCCCCATTTTTAATCCAGCTAGCAGAGGCTTTGACGCCCTTTGCTTGAAATTGGGAATCATATTAAAAAAAAATTAAATTGTGTGCCTTTATATATCTTTATATATATATATATATGTAATACTTAAATTCAATCGCTCACATCTCTGTTAATATGCATCTACTCGTTTTTTTGACGTAAATTTGGAATCAAATGAAAAAAGATTAAGTGTAGTATTAACCTTGAGTGTAGACTCGGACCGTGCCCTTAGCTCTTTAGCTGATTGCACTTTAACCTTGGCAAGGAGTGGCAGGAAATGTCAATGCATTACAGCCCAGCTGTCGGCCATTGCAGCGTTTAGGACATTGTAACCTGTAATCAAAATAATTGATCTAATTGCTATGCAGCAACAGTTGTCGATTTATCATTGGCAATGACACTTGTCATGAAAAATTGCTAGAAATTTCAACTGACGTCAGCTGCCAGCTCGATCACAAATCAATCAGTTACTGATAGTCATAGCTTTAGACACTTACAGTTAGCCGCTGTGATTTAGAGATAAATTTAGTTTATTAATTATGAATGTTGGCACTATCGCTGGTCTACTTAGAAAAGTGATTAAAAGATAATTGTCGCTGGTTTATGACTTGCTCTACTTAGTTAGACAGTTTTTTATTTATATTTATTAATGACAAGGTTAGCAAATAAATACATAGCATCTACTCATCTAGCATTGGGCAAACAAGATAAATATAGTTTTTTTTTTTTTATTATGACTATTAGAAGAATATTACAAAGTTTGCAATGTTACGTGTTGTCTCAGATATGGAAATCATGGGTTCATATTCATGCACATTCGCTTTTATCTCGCTGTCATTCCTTAAGACTCGGTAATAAATTATACAAAATTGCAGACTAATTTTATATGCACTATGTGTTTATCTTTTTTATCTGCTATAAAATTTATTATGGGTCTAAGCAGTAGCTTTTTAATGAATATAATGTCTTATTATTATTTTATTTAATGTTATCATTGCAGAACACACGAGGAAAATAGATTATATATTCGCAAAAATGTGATTTAAATAAAATAAGGCAATCGAAATTTGTTAGATAGAATTGCTGAGTAATATCAAATTAGAATTCTTTAGTATTATACTTCGTTGTTAAAAATATTGCTTTCTGATTAAAAAGTTTTTGTGTAATATTTTTAGTAATCAAAGAATCTACTTTCTTTTACAATATTACGCTTTTAATGGACAATCAAAAATTTGCTTTATATTATATCCATATCCAATGACGACAACACATTAACCTTAAACAACGTATCGATGTCAACCAGAGTGTTCATTAAATATACATTTGGATTTCATTCATAAAAAAGAACTCAATAAATGCCGAACGACCTTTCATTTAGTCCCTGTTCAATTAATGTGTGTACTCAATCAGCAAAAAAATCGCACTGAACTTTAGAAAATTGCCCTAAAATCAAAATCGTCATGAAAACTAGAATATTTTTATTTATTTTAAAAATAATTTCTAATTTCTAAAAACTAGAAAAGCTTGCCAAAAATATTGTGTTTGCATGCGATGTTTTTCGGAGTGTAGTTTCAACGCATCCATATTTTTCCATATAAAAAAATTCGATTAATCTAATATTCAATACAATAACGACAGCCCATTAAAAGCACTGACCTATAACAATGTATCGATTACAATGTTCATTAAATATGCATTTGGATTTCATTCATTAAAAAAGCCAATAGAGGCTAAAGGATCTTTCCCTCGACACCATGTTCAATTAATATGTGTAATGTAATAAAATGTTTGCTTTACTTTTGTGTAGTAGATTTTTCTGCTCAACTTGTCAATTGTAATATTTTAAGGAAAGGTCAATATTCTCATTAATCATATCCCTTTCCCTTCTCTCTCTCTCTCTTTCTCTCATTAGCTGGCACAAACGACATCGTTGCCCGCCTCAACAGCACAATTTGCGACACCTTCTCTGCCTCCGCCGCTGCCGCATGCGGAATCGTTGACAGCAACCGATGGGGACACTAAGGACCTGTTTGATGTGTCGCTTGATGACGACGACATGCGGGACGGACACCATGAGACGGAGCGTTATCCACTGTCCCAGGTGGACTTTGCCCGGGTTAAGACGCCGTTCATCATTGGTATCTGGATATTATCGGCAAGCATAGCCAAAATCGGTGAGCATTATCAAAAGCGTTGCCAGCTTTTCTTGAAGTGGAACTGAATTTGGTAAAGGGAGGCAGCCGATTTGTAATATTATAGTGGGAGGGTTGCCCCTGCCTCCCCCTGCGTACAACCTACTTTTGTTTAAGTAAAAATTATTTAAGATCTGGCCAGCTGTCATTGGCACAGAAGCGTTTCTTTAGGACGTACTTATAAAACCGCTTTCTGACAAAGATTAGTTTAAAATGCATCATAAAATACGGCTACAAATTTTATGCTTCCATAACTCTTCTAAAAAGCAATAAATTTTAGAAAAGCAATGAATTTTTGATCAAATCTTGATGAATCTAGAAATAAACTGCTTTCATGGAAAAATTTTAGAATAGAAGCAGTATTTTTGGTTAAAATTAAAATTTCCATCAAACATCGACGAATTATTTTCCAACTACCGAGTCATTTTCTTCAGCTCGAGCAACAATATAAAAATATAGAGCTCATAATGTTGGCTGCCGGCTGCCAGTCAGGCAAAATCAATATATTTTATATAACGTCGACTTCGTCGCTGTCACTGACATGCAGATTTGCGTCAAGTCGTAAGAGAACAGAGTCTCTGTGTGTGTGTGTGTGTGTGTGTGTGTGTGGGTGTATAGGAAGCGTGTTTGTAGAGGTGTGCAGCCAGTCCCAACTGAAGGACATTGCATAAGCATCAGCCGAGTGCGCAACAAGCGAGCCTTGACACTGCCCCCTAAAAAAAAACCAAGAACAACCCACACTTGAACCTCCCCTCCAGGGAGCAACAATTGCCAGATTGCATAAGCGATTTGGCAAGCTGCAATGAGATTTGTTCAGCTTACTGCCACTGCCACGGTTGCCTTTTTTTTACTGGCTTTTACTGCTGACTTTGTTATCTTCCCGGCCTGCTGCTTCGGTTAGTTGGTTACCTTGGCTTTCTGCGCAATAATCCATTTTTTCAAGGCCCCAAAAACAGCGCACGCAATAACACCAAATACACCCTCAGGCAGTTGGTTCCTTTTTTTAGCTACCTCCCTCTGCATAACTGTTCCTTTTCGCGTCTGCAATTGAATAAGCCAAGTGAGCCAAGTGACAACTGGCACTTATATAATTATCGGGGCCATTTTGACGCCAGAACAAACTTTTTTTTTTTGGCGCAAAACGAATTAAAATGATACTTCGCCTATCAAATTGAATTATCTCTTTAAGTCTAAGCTTAGATTTGTTAAATGCAATTCTAATCGATATTTAATAAGCCCATATTTATTTGACTTGTTTACTTTTAAAATTTGTGGTAAAAGCACTTTCAAATATTCACAATTCTTAACAATTTTTCAAGTGGTATTTATTGATTTCACTCTCAGATTTTTGTTTTGGGTTTAACTTTTATTTTTTTTATTCTTTGATCGGTTTCTTTCTCACTTTAAAATTTAAAATAAGCTTAAGCGGTATTTTTATTGAATAAAGTTAATGGACTACTTATACACATCGTATTTCTTCACATTCTGAGCGGTCTATATGTACCCATGTAAGTGTAGCCATTGACCCAAATGCAAAAACCAGCCATAATCATGGTACAGTCCCAATGTGGGCTGTCTGGCGGAGTGGAGGTGTTGGAGGGGGAACTTGTTACATTTTCATATAAATGGGCCATAGTTGAAATGGAATTCATTTTTGTTTAGGTTTTTATAGGCACAGAACAAAAGCAAAAACACCAGCAAATGTCGTGTTTTATTTTAGTGAAACTATTTTTATACCCTTGGCCCATTAAAACTGGAAAAGGGCATAATGGAGTTGTGCAAAAATATGTAACAGACAGATGAAAGCAATTCCGATCCGACAAAGTATTTATATTCTAGATCAGCAACGAACATTGATTCTTTCTATATGAACAAATATATCTCAGAGACAATAAGAGTAAGAGAGTTTATTTGAAATATAAGTTCTCAAGGTATACGAGAACGCAGATGAAGTATGTTTAATTTTATCGATTATCAGTAAAAGAAACAATTATAAATATATAGTGTGGATATATAATATAATCAGACATATTAAAATTGTTTTTGTTATTTCATCAGCAAGTCTACCGGGTATTTAAAGTGTATTTCAGGGTATCTCGTAGCATTCTAACTGATTTTTTCATATCGTATGGGCGTGATACCGCCACGCCCCCTGACGCCCATAACTACATGCATATGTAGATTTATATGGAACACAGTTTTAAGCTTCCTTTCAGGTATTTGTGTATTTTATGCTAAATAAGTGATTTTCATTACAGGTTTCCATATGACACCCAAATTGCATCTGATATTTCCGGAATCGTGTCTGCTGATTGTGGTGGGCGTGGTCATAGGCGTTGTGCTCTACTTTTGCACAGATGTTGCCGTCTCCCCGCTGACGCCGAACACCTTCTTCTTCTACATGCTGCCGCCGATAATATTGGACGCGGGCTACTTCATGCCCAATCGGATGTTCTTCGATAATCTGGGTACAATCCTACTGATGGCTGTGGTGGGCACCATCTTCAATGTGGCCACAATTGGTAAGCATAATGAAATTGATTACTTTAATGGGACTCAAACTGCGAACGCTGTCAACGAGCGGAACGTGGCCTTAAAATAAACCGAAAGCTTTTGTGGTTGCTCATTCGAGACCACTGCACCACTTGATGCCTTTGGGACAACCACTCACTCATCCATCAAGTGGTCAATGACATTGCCATTTCGTAGTATCCTCAAAGGGCAATAAACCCTTGACTATTAAAGACAGCTCAAAAGAAGTTTCTTAATTACTCAGTTTTGTAATGCACACAATAATATTTGCCTGAAATAACAGGTGTACGTTAATTTATTTAATCTGCATTGTATAATTGTACATTTATCTATTATCTTAAATCTTATCTTAACTCTCTAATGCACACTTACATTTAACTATTAACACGAACATTACTCAGCAGGGAATTTCTAATCAAAAACAATTTTATCAAACAATATTACAAAGTTAACGCGTTAACCGTTTGGGAATTGTAAAAGAATTTGCGTATTTTGCTCATTAATTTGCATTTTATTTTATTTAATTGAAAAAATAAAGAAATCTTATTTAATTTATTGATTCAATATTCAATACATTTTATTTCGATTGTGATTTTGGCACGCTGGCAATGTAAACAATGTAAACAAAAATTAATGGAAATATGTGATGCATTACACATTATTTAGGACTAATTCCAATGTCGACGCGCTTGTTACACAAAATTTGTGGCACGCGAGCTATATGCATATATATATTTATATATATATGTATAATATAATGTTGTCAAGGGGCATGGTACGCGAAGAGCATTTGTTAACTTGATTTATACAAGTGTAACACACAACAAGCTATTTATGTGATTGTGTATTTGTATATATCAGAATGATACAGATGAGGGCAAGCATGGCTGAAAAACACCCCTTAGAAGACGACCATCTGAGATGTAATTTTGAAAAAAATGAATAAATAAAATTTAAAAAAATTAATTCTTAAAGAGTATAAAAACTACACTTAAAGTTTGGTTAGATTTGTAACAACGATTGCTTAAAACTAATAATCTCTTCGATGCAAAAATTGACTCTACAAATGCAAAAAAATAAAAATAAGAAAATAAAGGGTACAATTATATTTATAGTCTATATAATATAGACTGTATAATACTCATAAGATCTTCACTGTAGATGATATATTTGCAGCACACTTTTCCTTTCATATTAGCCATATTTTATATATAATTAGCATAAGGTATCTAAATATCAAAAACTGTATCAATCTAACTCAAGACAAGTCAATTTAGTTAATTACCAATTTCCATAAATTAAAATTAGTGGCAGTTATGGCAGTTATTTTCATAAAATAATTTCCGCATTGCAGGTGGCTCGCTCTATGCGTGTGGGGTTTTTGGCGTCTTTGGAGATGAGATGCCCAAGTTGCTGGATGTCTTTCTGTTTGCCTCGCTCATATCCGCCGTGGATCCGGTTGCCGTGCTGGCCGTATTCGAGGAGATACACGTCAATGAGATTCTCTACATTGTCGTCTTTGGCGAGTCCTTACTCAACGATGCTGTTACGGTAAGTGCTATTTCCAGACAGTTTTTAATGCGCTGATAAACCAGAGGGAAATCGAGCAATTGAATATACATTTATATACATCTGTGCCATATGCTTTCAGGTTGTCATGTATCATATGATGGAAGTTTATAATGAAATTGGTTTGCCGAACATTGTGGCACAGGACATTGTCAGCGGTGTTGGTTCCTTTTTTGTTGTGGCACTCGGCGGTGTTGCCATAGGTAAGAAAATTATAACAGAAAATATGTATACGTATAGAAGAAGCTCCTTAATGTTACTTTCTGAAATGCAATATGCAATAAATATATTTCACAATTTGCAGGCGTCATTTGGGGAGTCCTAACTGGTCTGGTGACACGCTTTACGGATCATGTGCGCGTCATCGAGCCCATCTTCATATTTGTCATGGCCTATCTGGCGTATCTGAATGCGGAAATCTTTCACATGAGCGGCATACTGGCGTGAGTATGAGCTGTGTACACCGCATGATAGCATTGATATATCTAAATCTATATCTCTTTGCATATTTAGCATCACATTCTGTGGCATTACAATGAAGAACTATGTGGAATCGAATATATCTCAAAAATCGCACACGACCGTTAAGTATGCACTGAAAATGTTATCAAGCTCGGCGGAGACAATTATATTTATGTTCCTTGGTGTCGCCACCGTCAATAATAAACACGTTTGGAATACGTGGTTTGTGGTGCTAACAATTACCTTCTGTTCCGTATTTCGTGTTATCGGTGTGTATAAGTTATACAAGTTCGATCAATTGTGAATTTTAATAAATTTTCTACTTATCGGTTCAGGTGTCATTCTGTTGTCGGCCCTTGCAAATCGTTTTCGATTGCACAAATTGTCGAGAGTGGATCAGTTTGTCATGTCGTATGGTGGTTTACGTGGTGCTGTCGCCTTCGCACTCGTTCTGCTCATCGACGAGAATGTGGTCAAGCATAAGAACATGTATGTAACGACGACAATAGCTGTGATTTATTTTACGGTGTTTCTGCAAGGCATCACCATAAAGCCCCTGGTCAAAATACTTAATGTGAAGCGAGCCAATAAACGAAAACCCACCATGAACGAGCGCATTCACGAACGTGTGAGTATATTAAATTTAAGTTGCTTGTTAAATACTACCTACGAAGGTACAGATTAGATATTGACTGTATTTCTTTCCAATTTAATTCCAATTAGTTTATGGATCACTTGATGGCTGGCATTGAGGACATTGTTGGCAAGACAGGCAATTATAATGTACGTGATAAGTTCAAGCGCTTCGATAATCGCTTCATACGTCCACTGCTAATCAGAGATCTAAAGGTACGAGTCAAATATAATTTATATACAAATTTCCTGTATAACTTCACAATTTATTTTATTGAAACTTCCAACTGTGTGTTCGGTGAACTTTTTACTTTAATTCTCTATGCTCCTCTTTCTTTAATTTCACTGCTGCTTCGTAGGGCGCTGAACCCAAGATTATTGAGACGTACTCAAAGTTAACCATGCGCGATGCCATGGAGGTGATGCGTCGTAATCCTTCGACAATTGGACAGATGACGGGCACTGAGTCGATGAGTGCGCTGTTTAGGAACTATACCAATAATTATATTGGTGGCAGGTGGGCACCGCCAACCATATACACCACCTGGTAAACGAATTTTGGATAATCGTTAATCGATAATCGATAACAATAACCGTACAAATGCATGCAATGCAAGCAATCAAAAAAATGTAGTAACATCTTTGCATGAAAAGCACAAAAGTTTTTCTAACTTACCAAGTTGATCCCCCTTCAATTTGTACACTGATTAATACTTCTCTATAATTTTTCTTACACTCTATATACTTTTTGAGCATATATTTACCTTTTTGTATATCTAAAATTCGTTTATGTGTATTTTTGGTTAATACTCTGTAGTGTATATTTCCAGCCAAGAACTACTTAAACTTTATTTACTTAACCTTAAACTTCAATTTGAATAGCCCCAGTCTAACGAATCTGGATAATACGTGCTCGCACAACTTGGATATGGCTGAGCTGGACTATAATCCATCCAAAAGGGATTTGACTGATGCCAAGATACATCATTTGCTAGCCGAAGAACTAAAGCCTTATAGGCGGGTATGTATCCACAAAAAACTCGAAATCCCTACAAAATAATCGATTTCGGTTTGGTTTTTTATAATATAGCAGTATCAATTTTACCCACTACTTCTATATATATATATATATATATATATATATATATATATATATATATATTTATATATATATCTTAAAGCATATTCACTCACACACAGCCCAAGTTTTGTTGAGTATATGATGTATAGATACTCCGTCACCTTTCTACTCGAACTCACCGAAAATACTTGATGCCTCGTAGTAGTATTCGTATTTTATGCTTTCGTCTGATTTTTCTTTTTGGGCATTTGGTTTGGAGACACGCTTCTCTCTCTCTCTGTCTCTTTCTCTCACTGTCTGTCTTTACCTCTATATATATATATATATACTGACTATATCTTCAACTAGATATATTTGTAATTAATCATTTATTTAATTTCTTCCCGTTGTAACAAACTCAACTCAACTTCAACTTATCGTCAACGTCACGTATCCAACTCAAATATAATTCAAACGCGTTCAAAAAAAAAAACAAAACAAAAAAAACTACTTCAAATTTTTGTGTGCTTTGAACAAAATTTTGCGAAACTGTACAAAATATATTCAAATATTTCGTAATGAAAGGCTTCCATACAAATGGTACGAATAAATTGGTTCATTTGTTGTTAAAAGCATTTTTGATTTGTTTATTTATTTATCTTTCAATTTTCTTAATTAACTAAACGATAATGTTCAACGTTCTTGTGTGTCTATACTCATGACTGCAAAACGTTCTTTGTAATGCATATAATTAATTATATTAATTAATTATCAGTTTCTAGTAAATATCTTAATGTATTTCAATTGGTGTCTAAATACAGTCTTTAAATAATCGTCTCGATAATCAATTAATTCTAAATGGCTAATAAAAACTTTCACATCTATATATTCTTAAATTCAATTGCTAAAACTCAAATTTAAAAATTTCTATTATTTTTCAACATTTTTACATTCATTTTACATCAGACATACCTAATTAGTTATTTTCTTTAGAAATATTTCATTAGCAAACAAGAATTAGATGAAAAAATGTATTGTTTTTATATAGGAAAAGACTATAATAAATAAATGTGCCTTATGTTATGTAAGCTAAAGTGTAAAATTCTAAAAATAAAAAATCGATTTCTTTTCAATTTTTAAAATTATTATCAAATATCTGTAAATGCTTAGAGCAGTTATAGCTTTTCATTTGTACGCTTTCAATTACATTTAGGAGATATTCAAGTAAATTTTAGACTTTATCTAGGAATTTGATAGCGGACAGGCTTGATTTATATTATATTATTCAAATTTATTTCAAAAGACTAAATTTAACACCGAAACTTAAACTTAAAACAACAACTTAAACAACATAACAATTAACTTTAATGTTAAAGCACTTTACAAAATTGTATTTTTTAATCGTTTGACTGCTTTGATAACAAAACACATTTAAACTACTTTCTCTATGTTCTTTATTTGTTACTTACTTATTTTAAATACACTACTCTTTTTGCAAGCTCCACTAAAAACTATATACCCATGATTATCAACATGAAATTATATATCCGTAAATGTTGTGTTACAGTTTTTGCTCCTTAAATTATATACTCTTTCCAAATTTTTTGATTTGTTGTGATAAATCTCGATTATCCGGATAGACGGAACGTCTAACGTCTCGTCAAGTGATATTGATCCGAACTACATATACTTATATATATACACAAATATTCGTGAATTTTTTCCCAATACGATTAAATTCTGACACCCTTTGCAATACCAATAATAAAGTATATTTGAATATAAAAATCGGATAATCGAGGCTTAGCTACTTTTGGATAGAGTATTCCTGCTTCGGTCATGACGAAGTTAACCCTCAGTTGCTGTGCCCAAAATGCACCTTCTCTAATAAGTATATATATTTAATCGTTTATTCAGATCGTATAATCTATATACCTAGCAATAAGCTGTATAAATGTTATGAGACGTCTTTACACCTTATGAATTGATGTTTATGCTAGTTTCGCAGCAATTTCCTGTTAAGCATTAACTAAATGCTACAATCTACCATATATGTATACCTAACAATTACCAATCAAATGACGATATATCACTTAAGAACACCATATATGATTTTTGGCATTTAATGTGCTTTTCGTACTACCATTCCTTACAGCACCGTCGTCTTAGTTATAGCCGACACGCAGTAGATGACAGAGATTTGTCCACACAGGTGAGTTGAATGCATAGACAAATCTCTGAATGCACCTATATATGCATATATACGTGTATACCTAATTAATCATTATGTAGTATAAGTTAACTAATTATATGTGTGCTTTCTATTTATGTGTTTATTTGTAGGTCAATTACAAAATGCAAATGAATTTCCGTCGCATGTTCAACGATCGCAAACATCACAAGCGCAGCAAACGTGGCGCCAACAATAAGGTGAGCACCATCTATAAGGAATACCCCCCTCACACTAATACTAATAATAATAACGATAAATTATCTCTCTTTAACTAGGAGACGAAGGAGAATGTGAAACAAAATCATGTCTCATTCCCCGATTTTCAACAGAACGGCACTACGAAGCAGCTCAGCAATGGTACGAATACGAATTCGAGTTCAAACCAGTCACGCAAAAAATCTTACAGAAAAAGACATACTCACAATTCACTTAACAAATATCGTAGATTAGAAATAGGTAAATGCAAGTAAAAATTCAGTAATGAATTACTTAAACACACAGCAATCTGTAGAAAGCTACTCCAAATCGTTTAGTCTCTAATTATTTGGTTCGTTTTCCTTTTGTTTAATGGACAGCATCCAAAGGATGTCGTCTGAGTTTATCAGTAGTGTTTTCTTTTTGATTTAAATCGACATTTTAAGGTCGCCTCTTATAACATAATAAATATACGTAGTCCACACATCATTTTCATATTTAAGTTTTTCAGCAAGGGCTCGTAAAATATTTTAAGAATCCTTATTATTTATAATATTATATGTCCAAATTTATAGTTCAAATTAAAACTCTATTTATTAAGTATAAGAAAATTTAAAAAACAAATGTATCTTCATTCTTTAATTATTTTCTTTTACGAAGGTTACGAGCCCTTCTTTAATTTTCATTTCATTTTGTTACTAATATTAATTTACAAATATTTTGTAATATTGTTAAATATTTTTAACAACAATTGGTCACTAATTATACAACCCCAATCTTTCTTTCATGTCTCCTTCTTTTACCCGATGCCCACAAAATTGGTTGAACAAACAAATCCTCAACTTCAATTTTTCTATTTCAACACCACCAAAAACTTACTCAAAACCACATCTGCCTTTGCCTAAAAAAACAAAAACATTTTGTGTTTAACAAACGCTTTAATCATGTGCTATTATTATTATATATGCATATGTAAATATACATATATATATAATGAAAACAATATACTATCATATATAAAGACTATATTAACGATGTGCTTAATGAAACAGCCGAGGAGGCGCCACAAAATCCGAATGAGATTAATGTCATTGGACCCAGCGACGATTGGGATGATGGTCTCACATTTACAGCAAAATCATCACGTAAGTTCGATCATCCACTCAATGTATTTTTTACTAACTTTAATCGATCACTAATTTGTAAATGTAAGTGATATTTATGTATCATTAATGGGGCTCCTGGTGGCTGGTCCACGCATTGCCCTATCAGTGTTATGATATTTATGTTTATTATTATTTGTCACGGTAACCTCTAGAGATACATATGATCGGAGGTTATATAGCGATAGCCGACTTGTGTTTACTGTTTCTCAACTCAATTGACTACACAAAAATGCCATCAAGTAATTCATTTGATGCTGAACAGAAATGAGCCTTAAGCGTTAAGTGAATGATGTAGTATGTAATGTATGTATTACACTGTCCGACACAACAGCTCAAAGTAAAGTCATGAATAATTCTTAAACAGGTTGAAACAAATCATTTGGTATAATTATCTATATGTAAATTACTTAGTTACTTATCACATCAAGTAGCCAAAGTTGATTTAACAAAAAGTTTCTAGACTACTAAACTAGAAAATATCTTGTGTGTGTGTGTTTAATCTACATCTATAATTTCTTTATAAACTCATATATTTTAAAAGTCACAGACAATCTGTAACTTTGCCCTTCAGCCAAAGCTTTGCTAGACTTAATAATTATTTATTTTCTTTTGATTTTAATTTAATTTGATTTTTGTTGTTAACAATTCCGTTTTCTAAAAGCGCCTTTAAATGCATAATGCCTACAATTTAAGAAATACCTAAAGTTAAAAAAAAGTTATAACGACAACATTTCTATATATTTTTTTATCCCTATTGTATGCCTATCCAATTTATTTGATTACCATATCAATATATGTTGCTCGATATACCCGATAACTACTGTTACACAATTAGCTGACTCGGATCGCGCCAATAATAACTCCCTGATAGCGCATATACAAAACCTGCCCGGTTTTGATGCATCCAAAGCGCGCATCGTTCAGCATTATGCGCCTAAACTTGAGGACGGTCCTCAGCAAGATCTAGGCTCGCCCGATCCACCAGTTGGACCAACAGCCGCTGAGCTGATCCTGCCCTGGCGACGGGATCGTTCATACCAGAGCATTGGTAAACCAAATCAACAAAAAACAAAAGCTACAACTATCTAAAAACAAAAACAAAAATTATAAAAAGCATTGGCTATAAGAAATATGTACAAGCACATCATATCATCAAATATCAACGATACACATTCACATCTATAGATCATCCGTCTATCTTCTTGATCATCTCGAATACATAGATACTTTAGTGACTTAAAAATTATAATTCATGAAAATATTCTATATAAATGTGTACAAAATAGTAGCAGTTCCTACTTGTACTAACTTCAGTATTATTTTACTATTCTATATATACTATGATCCTTCTAATCTATAACATTCAAATTCCAAAATCCTCAAATTATATATATATATATACAATCTCTTCTGCTTCCAATAAGCTAGTTATAAACTCCAATTTTTTCATATGTAATAAATTCATAGATGCAAGAAAAGTGTGAATATGGGAATAAACTATTGCAATTCTTACATAAATCAAGCAAGAAGCGAGAAGCGACAAGTTGCATTCACTTATCTCTTTTCTATCAACGCTTCTCGCTTCAACTCTATTTTCGTTAGCACCCCAAATCCATTCCACACTCATATCCCATTAGTCACACATACACAAACAAAAAAAAAAAAGATAAAGAAAATTAATTCAACTTACTTGAATCAGAATGTCATAATATTAGAAAAGTACAATTGTAATTTGTGCTAAGCGTTTGGTGCCGCTAATTAAGCTATACCGAGTAAATTTATGTTGCTTTCTTTTATTTATTTTGTACTTCCCAACTGGTTTATACTATACACACATACATATACACATAGATTTTACCAAGGCTCGTTTTCTCAGTTTGCTGTTAAAGTTAAAATGATGTAAAGACTGACCAAATGGACATGTTAACCAACTTTAACATAGACATGTGAAAACGTTCCTGAAAAATGCATACATTTTCAATGTTTTATATCTATCATATATATTTGTCATTAATGTCTATTAAGCGACTGGTTGTTAAATACCTACTTACTTACAAAAAAAAAAAAAAACAAACAAAAAAACACTCGCTGAATTGCTTTCTAGAGGCAAAACTAAAACAAAACAAAAAATCAAAAAACCCATATGAAGAAAAGCTCGTTGTTTCATACAATAGGTGATCATCTGAAAAAGTAATGCCGAAATTCAGTACTTACATGTAACATGTAGAAACGCATTATGATGTTACGCAAATCATTTGAAATTTGATTTGATTTGATTTGATTTGAAGAATTGAAAGCATTCTCAAGCATTTCAAACATTTCGAGCATTTTGAAGTGAATCAAAACAGCAAAAGCAGCATGGCATTTTTGTGCATGACAAAGTTATTTGTTGTTGCCCTCCCATAATCGTATATCGTACTACCTCTTGAGTTGAAACTGACGTTTACACTAACTAAGAAATCCAATCGGGCCAATCGATATTGCTAGCAATAATAAATTTGTCAACTTTTTTTTTTAGTGTAAACGGTTTCGAAAAGAAACTTTGACGTATTATCGGTTTACTCAGGGCATTAATAATAAAGTTGGGACGAATCGAATCGAAGATCACATGCCATTAAATGGAAATCAAACAATAAAAACAAATTAGTGTTATTAAGCAATTATTCAAATTTAAGTTGTAAGTGGTACATAAGTCAATATAAGCTGCTATTGTAATAAATATATTTTAGCTTAATCTTGTTTGTTGTTAAATAAAGTGTAATACTATTAATCTTACCAAATTTTTCTATTTGATATTGGAACCAATAGAATTGAGTAGAGACTTAAGCATTATTATTGAAGGTATTTCATTTTTCAAAATAAAACATACAAAAGAAACTTATTGGTATGTGTACCCAGCTTTAAATAGTTTGCAGTCCTCCGTTCCACTTGGTACTTCGATTCGATTCCGTTTAAGTTTTGTATGATGTTTAAATCGGATTATTATTTGCATTTTGGTTGAGCGCATTTTGTTCTTGTCCACTCCCTTGTTTGTCTTCATTTCCTTTTTTCGATTTCCCGTAGTTATCGATAACTGAGCAGCATGCAAAATTAATTTCGTTACCAAATTGTCAATTCTCTAAAAAGAACTTTGCGATTTATCTCACACAGTGGCCGAGCATCCAATACCCGAAGAGGATCGCAATTTGTCGCGCGACTCGGATGGCGAGAGGCGTGTAGCCACGCCCACCGCGACAGAGTCGCAGTTGCCGTGGAAGCGACAGGGTGACGAATCCACGGATGCAGTGCAGCAGAATGAGTTTCCCGCTTGGGCCTCGAACAAGGAATATTTGGCCTACAACTCGCCCAGTGCCACATTTCTAGGTAAGAAATACACAGAAAAAAAATATGTACATATACACTCAGAAAAGAAATCACCCTGAATTTTAGAAAATTGATCTAAAATTGAAACTAGAAAGTTTTTTTTTGTTTTTAAAACTAACTAAATGTGAAAAAAAATGGTCTAAAAATTAGAGAAGCTTTACCTGAATAGACAATCTCAAAATGATGGGGGTTTTTATACTTTTAAGAAATACTTCCTATTGTTAAAACTTGAATTTTTAGGAAGGCAAAAACTCATTTTTAGAAACAAAGGGTCGCCGGAACAGCGTACGTTTTTCAAAATAAATTATAAAGTATCTAAAATGTTTGTACATGTCAAATCTGAAAATACTATTGTTTATTGGTTATATTAATAATAGCTACAGAAAAGGTTCTGTATTCAGAAATTAAAAAAAAAAGGTCTAAAAATTAAAAATAATTGTATTTTGAGTTTTAGAAAAACTTACGTTGAAATCAAAAAAGAAAAACAATTATTTTTAGAAATATACTTTCTGATTAATAAATAAAATTCAGTGTGAATACTTTTCTGAGTGTATGAGAACGAATTTAGGAGACAACAAACGTTTAGGCACATTTTCAAAATTCTTTGACATATTAAGAAAATCCTTAAACCATTGAGAATAGAACAAATCAGGTCTAGTTTTAAGTGCGAGCGAAAACGAGCAGATTTTCAACACTAATTGTACAGTTTCCGTTTTGGTTTAAGTTTTGATTACAAACTTTTTGCTATTTGAGTTATTTGACTTGTACATTGGAAAGTATTTAAAAGAGAAACATGTGTAAATATCTAAGATTACATATGTATATAAAAATATAAATAACACTATATATGATTTACTCTTATGTTTCTCAAATGCACCAAATCTTTGAAACAATATGAAAAAAAAAGTTAATTGCAGCAAAATTTAAGATAAATGTGAATCACTTGTAGTTGTTATTCTTCTTTTTGAGTTCTTTTTCTGATTTCATGTTAATTTTCCTGAACTTTGTGTTTTCTTCTCTCTTTTTGCCGCATTGCTTTCCTTTTTGGTAACTGTTGCCCACAAAAAAAATAAAATAAAAACAAAAACACAAAAACACCTTCCACAACACACACGACACCCTGTACAATGTTGATGTCTCCTGTGCTTGCAACCTACAACCTACAACCTACAACAACAACAACAACCACGCCTCACATAAACAGGTGGTATAAACAAGCCTAAACAGCCCAAGTCCGTCATAGGTCTGTTCCGTCGCGAGAGTTCCAGCTCCAAGGCAGGCAGCCTCGGCATCGGCAGCAGCAGCAGCGGCACTGTGGATGCCGGCACCAGTCTGGATCCCATGGTCACCAACCCCGTTGGCAACAATCCCATAAATCCCAATCCGATGCCATCGACTTCAACGCATAATCCGCGCCTGGACAATCGATCGCAATCCATTTCGTCCGGCACATTGGGCTCCCATGTCGTCGGTCCGGACGGGCATGCCGGACCCTTTCCGGTCACTGCGAGTCATCGCCGGAATGTGCGACGTGGTTCCATGTTGGAGCTGAGCGGGTAAGTTCTTGCTACACCTGCGGCACATGCCAGAATCTCTATGTTGTCCACAACACACACACACACACACACACTAGTGTGTGTCTGTATGTGTTTGTCTTTGCATGTGTTTGTCTTTTGTATATGTTGCTTGTTCTTAAGTGTAGAACTATTTGTTTACAAGTCTGCTAATATCCTTTAACATTTGACATATTCATTGTGATGTCGCCTCAAATATATGATTTGCTAAAAGACGATATTTTTGTGTAGACTTTCAACATGCGTTTTGCTTTTGATAAACGGTTGAATTTTGACAAAGCTTAAATTGTGGATGATGGTTTAAAATATTATTAAAAATTCTATTTGGTTTACATTTTATATCATAGCCATGGTGAAAATCATATCTAAATGCTTTAAAAAAATAATAATAATAATTATTATGGTTAGTGTTATGTATATTAAATGTTTCTCATGTGTCCTGCAACACATTTCTAAAATTCTGAAATTGGGTAATGTTCGGTTTGACTTCTGCTCCTCAGGCCCAGAAGGTATCATCACGCTTTTAACACCTATTATAACATTTTACGAACAAGAATTAAAACATTATAATACTTTTTTAATCAAAATTCTGTTTAAACAGCATGAAGGATATTGAAAAAGCTGACAACATTAGTGTGTTCAATGTACAAACTGTTTTAAAAATATAAAATTTGATATTGTTTTTGCGCTATATAACTAAAGAACATAAGTTCGAAATTTCCTCGCCCTAATGCTCTTTAGTTTGGATTGATTTTTGTAACACTAAATTTTTAAATCTTGTACATAATTTCTTTCGCATTATAATGTATATATTCTTTATTGCGCGACCTTTGTTCCATTTTTTTTATATTTTGTAACACTCTACTATCTGTGTATTCTCAATCCAATGACCAAATCCCTACCCCGTAAAAAAAAAAAAACCAAATGTTGTCGACTTACTCTGATGGTTCCGATTTGCAGACTTATTGCAACTGGACGCAGGCCCAGTAGAATTTTGCTCTGTAGTCCAGGAGCTAATAATTTACTAGAGAACATAGCAACACCCACAACAACAGCAACAACAACCACAGCAACAACAACAATACCAACAATTACTACTTATATCAAACCAATAACAACAACAACAACAATATCCACTACCAACCCTGCAAATACAACAACAACAACCACAGCAAGTTCAACAGCAGCAACTGAAAATAATTCGCCGAGCAACTCATCGACAACAAACTACAGCTCGCCAACATCGGAAAGTAGCGATGCTACCTACTATTCCAAGTAATCCGAGTGCCCAGTTTAACTAATCCTATACAAAAGGGGACAAATAATGTCATAAAATGCAACCAAAGCCGGCCAATGTCGAATTTCAACTAATCGTATATCGTAAAGCAGACAACAACAAAATACCCAACACTATAACTTAATTGATCTAAGCCGTATAATTTGTATATATTATACATTATACATGATACATATTCGAGATCAGGCAGTGCATATCATTCGTAGCATCAAGTCAGAAGTCTGAATCACTTACAATCAAATTGGAAACTCTTGCAACCCAAAATATATATTTTCAAATTTTCAACATCTCTTAAAATTGGCATTGCTTTACTTTCGCATCATAATTGCAATTGTCCTAGGTAGGAAGTAAATATTTTGCTGAATGTATCAGTTATAATCGTTTTTTTTTTTTTTTGTTCCAATAATAATAATATTATGAATTGTTTTTTTTATTTTATTGTGCTTGCCTTTCAGTTACTCTCTTTGTTAACACACACCTAACACAAACGTATTCAACTAACTGCAATTTCTAACAATTAACTAACATGAAATTCGAAGTATTAACTGAAAACCTGCACATGGTGCTATAAATTATTTATTGCTTTCTTTTGGGTAACATTTTTCGTTTATAATTTTGATTATATTTTTAGCGCCGTTTCAATTGAGTCCCTATAGCCGTAAAGTCCACAGACAAACGCTTCAAATCACTTAGTAAACCCACACAAGCACAAGCACACACACACACACAAATACACACACGCGCACAATAATACTATGCAAATTATATAAACTATGTATTTATAATACGGAAGTAGAGCTGTTGTAAAAGTCTAGTATTTGTTGGCTTTTAGCATTTATATATATATATATAGATATATTCAAAAATAAAAAAATATGTGTAAGTATTTTCGTTCGCTTTATACGATTACCAAAAGTTGTTAACTGTGCTAACCCTCAACTAATACATGTGCAACTAATACGTGTGGAATATTTGGGGTATTCCTGCAACTGGTTAATTGCTTAATTGTTGTCTACTTAGTAGCGGAGAGCATTTAATTTCCACCAAAAATAGGATTTGCAACAAATAATACTAAATATATAGTAAATAATATTAATATTAATACGATAAGCATATGGAGTCCTTTTTGTTGAAGCGTTTCCCAGCTTCCTCCTTATATAATGTGACAATAACTCGATAAATATCAAAAGTGGGTCGGTTCTTTCAGATACAATATACCAAAAGCGATAAATTACATTTTTGCATTCTATTACATTTATAATTCAGCCATATAACTATTCTATGAGGAAAAAGTTTAATCAGTTGCATACAAAGGCCTCAAATATTATTAGTACATTACTTATCTGTCACAAAAATATATAAATAAAAAATATATATGTACATATCTTTCTTACAGTTATAAATACCAAAAAAACAATACCTAGCAGTTAGTTAGGAAATTGTATTATATATATATATTTGTAAAACTGCTTTAATATGTATTGTCTCTATTGTCAAATTATGCTTTAAGCTTTTTTTTCTATTTTTCTATTTTCTACTCTATTTACGCTTACGCTTATTATAATTGATTTACTTTTTCTTTACTTTAAAATATTTTCCCAAAATTTTTCTGCCATTTTGCTTTAAGCCTACTTTTGCTTTTGTAGTGTTTACTCTAATAAAAATACCAAATTATAACCTGGATTTTATTTGTGTTTATATTGTTTCTCTAATTCTTCGTCATCTTTTACTAATACCTATTGAATAATTGAATTTTTAACAACGATCCCCGAGTAAATTAATTAGTAGTATCTAATTTGTGGTTCATGATCATTAGTTCGCTGCATTTCAACAAAAATTATCGCACAATTGACATTTTACTTTCTTCGCCTTCTCTTCACATCCATTGCCCAACCAACCAACCAACAAACCAACCACACACAACAACTACAACACAATCACAGTGACACAATACCCGAGGAGTCAACTTATCAGCATGGACACTCCAAGTCGCTCTGCGAGCCCAACGATGGCGATGACTGGGATTCGGTGCCCCTTGCTGCCGCCTCCTCCTCTTCCGGCGTCAAGAGCGAGAAAATGATGCAGAGTGGCCGGGAACCGCTTCTGCCACCGCGTTTGACATCCACACCGCGTGCTCAAATCCGTCACAAGAACGCCGGAGCGGTAGGCGGGGCATCTGTGGGCGTGCCGGGCCGTAAGAATCAGGTGACAACAGCACTGCTGGACTATGAGGATACGGAGAGCGATTCGGATGAGGAGGACGTGGACGACGATGAGGGCGAGGATTTTGATTTGTATGATGATGAGAATATTGTAGTCACCACATTCACAACGCCAGCAACGCCACGCCTGCACGAGCGTGGCGGCCGTGGTGGGGCAAGCGGTGCAGCTGGAGGGGCGGGTGGAGGCACCACTACCACTACGACGATTCGCCTCACTCGGAATAATGATGAGAGCATCATTTGAGTAAGAGCTGCAGTTCCTTCTCCAGCCAGTTGGAGATCACGTTCCAAGTCAAGGCAACGTTTCCCATACGAAATGTTCTACTGAAATCAGCAACGATTATATATACTTAATATATATAGTTCAATATACACTCAGACAAAAAAAAATAAGGAAGAGAATTTTGTACTTAAACAAAGACAAATGTCGGAAATTCTAGGAACAAAATGCATATTTCAAGACCGTTTTTTTGCTATCCATTTGGGGATATCTTAATGATTTAACTACGTTAATTACGTATTTTTGATTACTTATAGAAAAATATTTAATTCGTATATATAATTCTTAAATCAATCATGATATCATCTTGAAATTAAACAATATCAGATTGAGTAAAGAATTTAAGTTTTTAAATTTAACTAGGACGTTTAACACTTATTCGATGTACAAAATTGATTGTAATTAGTATTCTGGTATTCTGTGCTTGATCGCGGTTTTATTTGAATTCAGAAAAACGTTTTTCTCTGAGTGTATAATATAAGCGAACATTATGAAATAAAAAAGGGTTTAAAACAAAAAAGCTTTACAATTATGATACCAATAACATATTGTATATAAATTGAACAATTATTGTAGGTACGAGTTTTAGTTAACAGACAAACAACAATTATCGCTTGCTTCTTCGATTGTTGACTAACCTATACATATATTATATTTCAACTAGCCTAATGCTAATGTGTTCCAGAAACAATTGTGTTATCATTAACAAATTTAGCCAAACTTCTGATTAAGTCGTAACATTTAGTTCATCGTGTGTAAGTTGTTCTTTTTGCTTTTAGTTTAGGTAAATTTGAAACATAGTATTCGATGCAGATATATGTATGTATATGTATGTGTTTATAATTAATTATAACTGTTTTGCTAACGGTACAGCTACAGTGTTTAGTTCAATTTTAGTCGTACTTACGATAACCATAAAAGGAAACTAGCTGAAACTAAATGAAGCGTGTAAAAAGTAATCCGGAATAAAAAGCCGCCAAGAGTCGAAAAGCTAGATAATAAAAAATAGCCTTAAGCCAACAAATAGTTAAATACAACTAACTATGTATAGCTATTTAGCAAGAGTTATGTAATTTATAAATTATTTTTGTAAACATTTACGAGCCACAACTAATGTGAAAGATAGAACGAGGGTCGTAAAAGGACTCCAAGAGTAAATTTAATCGTATAATAATGCGTGACTGTATAAGAAGGATCAACACTAAAAGATTCATAATTTCAATATGTTATCGAAATCACAAATAACACATAGAACACGACACGACTCCCATACCATAATTTAGCATGAGCGTTAATTATTCATCTTCAAGCTCAATTTGAAGAACCTAACTTTCAACATGAATTGAATACACGTTCAAGGCGCTTAGTAACAGATGATCTGTTTCTAATTTGTATAAATTGTAAGTGAGTCTTTGTGTTAATTTGTCCAAAAATTGCCTTCTAAATTTGCACATTAGCACTGAATTCAAATGCGAAATTTCAGTTACGAATGCGTATAATACCATTTTATTGTGAGCTGCTAAGTAACTATAAAAAATTCTGTGTTTAGTTATTATAATTATTCTTTTAAACGAAAGACAATAAACAGCTACAAGAAATTGCATTTCAAACTATGCACAATTTCTTGTAAATTGTCATTTCACACAAAACAAATGGAAAATCTTGAAAACAAAATAAATAGAAAATTAAAAAACAAAAAACCAGAGCTGTGTTACTTATGAGCGCGTTTTCTATATAAATTTAGCATTATGCACAAAACTATAAGATACAAATTGTGAAATTGGGAACGTTGGTGACATAAACCCTTTATATAAAAACCGACAGCTCATAAACTGAATTGCTTGAAAGCATAAGCTGAAAAAATTAAGATCAAGCTGACCATTGAAAATACTTTGCATTTTCATACAGTAGGACTTAAGTTGTGCATATTTCAAGAAATTAAATTAAAAATTACTAAACCTAAATAGTGAGCGAAAAAAATACAGCTAATTAAACCCAAATTCACAAACAAATATTAAGCAAAACACAAATTAAAACCGTAAAAAAACTTGTAAACTGTTAAACTGATTTTAAATATTGTATAAGAGAATTTTACTAAAAATAAAAGCAAATGAAAATCAAAAAACAGTATTTTTAATTTAAATGTTGCTTGTAGTGAATGCCTTTTTTGTAATCATTTTAGATAAATTGCCTTAACGAAAATTAAATACAACAGTTTGAATAAAAGAAAATGAATTGAAACTGCTTTTAATTGTGTTAAACGTTAAATTGGGGTTTCAGACAATCAATACATAAATACTTTTGCGATGAATCAAAGATGTTAAAATGATTTGTTCACAAAAATAACTCTCGCATCCTGGCAGATTTATTAAGTACAAAGTTCATTCGAGTTACAGGGAGCCTTATGTAAAAATGTCACTATCATTATAATACATTAATAATTATATTTAAGATCAAATTGTTCTATTCCGACGACGGTTCCCAAATATTTGTAAACACATTCAACACCAGCAGCGCCACCTAGTGGAACTGCGCTTCTTGGGCAGTTGCCAGTCCACGATGACGTCACGTCCCAACAGACGATTATCGTTGTCCTGCATCATTGCTCTGGCCATAGCCGGATCGCACCCGAATTTGAAGTAGCCACAGCCCATCAAATGTCCATTGCTACTCTTGGAAATTTGCACCGATTGAATCGTTCCACGCAGCCGCTCATCCGGTCTGGCAACGCGAGTCTTTTGTGCGCTGCGACAGTGTTGCCAGAGTCGTTGAAGAGGACCTTTGATTTCGATTTGATTTTGGGCGGGTTCGCTTTCAATCTGGAGCACTGCGTAAGTACAGAATACGAATATCTAAACAATTGAGAACCAAAGAAATACAAAACATTTATTTTACTTATAAAAAATATAAAATTATGGGGATAGATTTAAGAAAACGCCCAACAAGAAATTATAAACAAATTGCCCAAGTTATTTGTTGTTGCTTTGAAATTCCGTTTATACATTTATTTCACCAAATATGTGTTCAATTTTTTTTGTTTTGTTTTTAATTTCATTATCTTAATTCTTTTGAAACTGATATAGTTAAATATGTTTAATGATTTTTGTTTAATTATTGGTTTTCTTGAAGAACTTTTTATATGTATATATACTATTTGTTTAGTATGTATGTTATGCATGTATTTATGTTAATATGCCGATAACGAGAACCTGTCTCTGGAGACGTCAGGTTCAAGTTCAATATGCATATGTATTTTGTATTTTGTGTATTGTATATATATAGGTATATGTATATGTATGTATGTCGCTATGTATGTAAATATGTATATCGATGGTCATCATTTCGCATTTTGAGTGTGTCTGTTTGTGTGGCTGTGTGTGTGTGTGTGCTAGCTAATGAGTACATAAATTTTTACTATTTTTTTTTTTGTGTTATATGTTTTTAAATATTAAATTTAATAATATATCATTTACTGCTTAGTTAAATTCATGAACTCTTTAACAATACAGAAAACAAATACGCTTATATGAGCATTATATGTATGCAAGTGTGTGTGTGTGTGTGTGTGTGTAGGTGTGTGTGAATATGGGTGTGTTTTGGCTCTATAATAAGTGTGCTCTCATACTTGTAATAAACATAAATTGTTTTGTTTTCATGTTTTTTATTTTATGTTTGCCTCTATTTAACATTTTGCTAAAGAAATTTGTAATATTTACTAAATTTATAATCATATCATTTTTTTATATAGCATTCATCTTATTATAATTTGCCATTTATTTTTTTTTTAATTCATAATCAAACCAACATTAGCCACATATGTAAATATGTATTTTAAGTGCTTACGAAACTCAGCTAAAAACTGGCCGAGTTTAGATTTTAGTCCAGGCAAGTATTAAGCAGAGAATTTTTGACTTTTGGTTACTTGATTCAGTTGATGTATATGTATGTATATATATATATATAGTTATAGGGCCTATAAACGCATATTGTGTATAGCTTTGGTTTTATGCAATAACAAGTTACGAGTAAGTTTCATCATGTTATGTCAAGGTTATCATTTTGAAAGGCAATCATTATGTTTTTCATATAGCATAGATATAATAGATATTTAAGATAGACTATAACTGCAATTAGCATTGAACTGATGCACAGCATAACAGAAAATAACATATATATATATATATATATATATATATATATAAATATATATATATACATATATATATGTATATGGTATTTAGTATGTTAATAAGTTGCTAATTTTAATCGTGTAGCTTTAGTTAATTCCTTCCTCTCCTTCCAATTTACCCAAGTTTTATACAATATTCCTTTTTATACAACTTTATTCCCGCTAAGAACTCAAAAAGAGTTGCAAACCATATAACTAAATTATGGCAGTTAAGATAAGCGCTTAAAGTAGTAGACAATAATTAAAAAAAATAAAAAAATTCTAAATAAAAATACACACTCGAATAAAATGAAGCGATTAAAGATGTTTTTGAGTGTTGCCAAATACTGTTGTTTAAAAGCCTTAATTCCTCATTCAGAATATGACGTGTATCTGTGTAGATGTCTATATAATGTGAAATGGTCATCATGCTTAGTATTTAGTTAACAATTAATATTAAATACTTGTGGCGATATATATATCTATATGTATATACAAATACAATTACATACGCATATTATGGGAAAACACGGAAAACCATCATTATATATGTATGTGTATCATTAGGTAGTTAGTATATGTATATTTCCATCATGTCTAGGTTTTAACGATTTTGTTGGGGAAAAAACACTTTGAATATATAGTATGTATGTATTTTACGCAATTTTGTATTGATTTTAAACACATCTAATACAACAAACTTGTAAATGTCCTTTGATATATTTGATGTTTTGTTTTTCTTTTTCTTCTTTTTTTGCTCATTTTATATATGCATATTATCTAGTGTATACATATATATTTATGTATGTGAATATACTGTTCAATATTTTGTTGTATGTAACTTGATTTCGATTGCGATTTGTATTGCAATGGTAATTTGATTGATTACAATTATAAGAGCTTTAAAATTGCACGTTTGATTCTATGGAAAAGAGAACATATTTAGAAAGATGCCTCAACGGCGGGAATCCCACATCTTGTAGCTTCCGGAATATTATTCATGTTATATGAAATCTAGCTTTCCAAATAAAAACTTCAAAGATAATATCTATTTACGATTGAATTCATAGCATACAGCAATCATCTGTACTTTAAAAGATTACTAAATGTGAGATACGCATAATACAATTTCTTAGGAAACTTCCAAAAAGCTATTAAAACTCATAAGATTTATGGTTTCTGTTAGGATGGATGGCTGCTTTCTGATTGTGGCCAGCTAATTATTTACTCTCAGACAAGCATAGGAAAAAAAAACTAATATTCAAATTTCTCGCTAAATTTCGACTACATTTTTGGGTAATTTTTCTTGTGTACTGCTGCTGATGAACTTGATAAACTAAGAGACGACACTCAAGTCTCCTGGTAGTTGTGTGAGGCGTTATCCTGTCGCCGTTTAGAGACCAAAACCGATGGCTCGTTATACATTTCCTGTGCGCAGCATTGAAAGAGTTGGAAAATTTAAATTACAATTTGATTAGATTTTAGTTTACGTTTTGTTTATGTACAGAATAAATGTATAATAGTAATATTTAAAAAATACAGTAAATAAATACAAAATCGATGGACTACTATAATGGATGTGTACATACATATGCAAATCAATATCAATTAAAGCTGGAGATTGGCTAACAAAGATACAATGTGTTTGGGAGCTGGGAATGAGTACATTTTAACTTAAAATTAAATAATTGCTAAACAACTAAATAATAACAATTAACAATAATTTAGATACATCATCGTGAGGATAGATATTGCAACAAATTGTAACTAAACAGATAAGATAAGATATCAACTAGCGTACAAGTGGGAGGCGTGGCGAGAACAAATTGGCGTTACTTATTCGAAATATAAAGCAAAAATTATAAACAAAGAGAGAGAGAGAGAGGACAAAATACAAAATAAGATTGGAATGTGTATAAGAGAGCGCGTGTTTTCTGGGAAACTACTTAAAAAAGCATCGTCATGGTTGTAGTTGTTGTTGTTGTTGTTGATGTGTTGATTTGTAGTGAGATTCACTTTGCTTTAGTGCCATTCACTTTCGCTGGCTTACCGGACGTTACGAATGGACCCACATAGTTGCTGGGAAACAGTCCGGAGAGGCCACTTAGTTCGCCGCGCCACCATTCCGGCTCGTCGCGTCCAAGGACGCTAATGATGTCGTCCTTCTCGAACGATAGCTCATCATCGTTTTGTGCTTTGTACGGATAAAGAGCAATCACTTTGTCTGCAAAAAAATTGTATATTGAGTATAGACAATTCACAAGATTATTTGCTAGCTAACTAACCCAAAATCTGTTCGGTCATTTCAATGCGACTGCCGGATACGGGTGTATTGCGACCGCTGTTGCGTCCACCTTGGAGCACCTTCACATACGTGGCGGGGAACCAACCAATTTGACGGCGCCTGCCCTTGGCCTGCAGCTCGCCCTCCCACCAGCCGGAGTCGGTCTTCTTACGTATCATGATCAATTGACCGCGTGTCAGCGACAACTGCTCGGCGCTGGTCGCCTCATACGGGGCAATAACTTGTGCAATCTCTGAACGCTTCGCACGCATTCCCTGCAAAATAATTAAGATGCAATTTTGGATTAGGTTTGATATAAATAATATGAGTCAACTATTTACGGGTGTCATGGAAGAAGTTCGTGACATTGGCCGGCTGTAGCTTTCGGCCGGTTCTGTGCTCTGTGTCTTGGACTGTGTATTTATCTGCGATACTTCAGTGTCGAGATCTTCGTGCGACTCCTCCAGCTCAACGGGCTGTGCCTTTGGCTCTGACTCTGACGGCACCTGCTGCACCTGCTCCGGCTGTAATTGGGCCTCTGGTTGAGCAGCATACGCAGTGCTGCCATTGAGAGTGACCTCCTGGTACGAGCACGATGAGTTATGGTATTTGGGGTTGGCGGTCGTTGTTGGTATTGTTTTTTTTTGTTTTTTTAGCAAATGAAAAGCATTGGATTAGTAGATGAGTACATGATGGTTAGCCACGATTTAATTTTGTATACCCTTGCAGAGGATAATTGCATTTTGTCACGAAATGTTGTTAGAAAGATGAGCTACATTAACTACTAAATCAATTACTAAAGTCCTACATTATGTATCTGAATATACAATCAGACTACTGTATCTTAGGTACAAATTTAAGTTATAATATGAACAATTTTTTGTGCTTAAAATATCTATATAAAACTAACAAATTATAAGCTAATAATGCCCCAAATATATTGGCAATATTGTGTTAAGTTTAAATTATGGTATAGTTTGATATATAATTGATCTGCAAGGGTATTCGAAGCTTTGGCAGGCCGAAGCTGAGAGTTATTTGTATAGAGGTTTATGATGCACTCCACTCCCACTCACCTGTTCTGCCGTCTCGGGCTCAATGGCGTTCGCAGCAGGATTGGCGACGACGGATGTTCCCACATCCGCCTTTTGCACATAGTTCGATGGGAACATGCCAGTGCGATTGCCAATGGTGCCCGTCCACCATTCACCCTCCTTTTTGATGACCATGACCATTTCGCCGGCACCGAAGCTAAGGTCACCATCCTCGGCAGATTCATAAGGATATGCGGCTATATAGTATTCGACATCGCCACCAGCAGCAGCAGCAGTTGTAGCATCGACGGAAGCTGCAACCGGCGACTGTGCCGCCTTGGCATTATTGTCCAAGAAGCTATCGGAGACGGCCTCTGGTTGGGGTACAGCTGCCACCGCCGTTGGTTCGTCCTCCAGCTTCTCCACATAGGACTCGGGGAACCAGCCTGTGTGGCCGTTAATCTCGCCAGCCAACCAGCCGGGTTCCGCATTCTGTTCTAAGGGCACAAGGATCATGTCGCCTGGCACAAATGTAATCTCCTCCGCATTGCGGGCATTGAACTCATACACAGCACGATATTTGACGAAACCTTCGGGCGCCGGTCCGCTGAGATCGACAGGCGCTGTCACCGCAGCACCAGCAGCAGCGGCTGTGTCATTACTCAATCCATAGTCGCCATAGGCATCGGCAGCTCCTTCACCTGCTGGCACACTGTCTACAGTGCTGCCCCAGGCGGAGCTGCTCGTCTCCCAAGCGGATGTGGTCCTAGTTGCGGCTGCCTCATTCTTGCGATTGTATTTCAATTCCAGGACCGCAGTTCGCTGCATGTCGTACTCCTTGTACAGATCCTCGCATTTGTTGATCAGCGCCGAAAGTTCAGCTTTCAGCTCCTTCACGCTCTCATCGTTTGAGTTGAGATCCTCCTTCTTGCATTCGATTTCCTTCTTTATGTTCTCCACCTTGTCCATGATTTGCTTGATGAGTAGCTGCAAAGAACGAAGGAAGTTTGGTGTTATAAATATGAAGGATATGAATTTATATATATTATTATAAAAGACACTATCATGTAATCAATTCAGGAACTTAATTTTAAGAGTCTTGTCTCAGAAATAACATCTTAGCATGCATTAACTAATTCTCATTGGGTTTTTTCTGCATTCCCGAAACCATTCAACAAATATTCCACTATTTTACATTTATATACTCCCAAAAATCTTAATAATATTTCTTACTTTTGTAATTTAAATTTCAATATTATTATTTTAAATTTTTAATTGAAATTTTTTATACTTTTCTGTGTCGACTAATATTAGTTGCCATACTATAAATACACAATTTGAATTTGCGAACAATTCATATTTTATATTTACATCTTAAAACCATTTCTATTATTAAATATATTTCTGGTAAACTAAACTATCCAAACATTTAAAAAAATAAATAAATAAATAATGCAAATTTGCATTATTAGAGAGATAGACAAATTCCTATTCTACATCTACATCTTAAAAGCGTTTCTAATACATCCGAAAGATATTTGTGGTAAAGAGCAATGCAAACATTTTTTTCTATTTAGATGATATATGACTTCTTCTACTTCTACGTAATTATTCCTGACGAGGTCTGTATTATATAACTCACCTGCTTGTGGGCAAACGCTGCAGTTAGCTGCTCCTGCTGTGCGGCATCGCCAGCAACTCCACTGTTTGCTTTGGTCTTCGAGTCCCACTTGCCGCGCTCCTGGGTGAGCTGCAGCAGCTTGGCGTTCTGCTCCTTGATGCGCGCCTTCAGCTGAGCCATTTCGCTCATCGAAGTGTCGCGCTGAGTGCGCATGCCATCGATAACGGATTTCACATTGGTCACTCCGGCTCGTGTGTCACATATCTTCTGCGATAGATCCTTGATCTGAAATAGTTCAAATTTCAAGTGAATTATTAAAGTCTGCTTGAGGATTTGATGTAGTGTTGTAGTGTGTGCCACCTTCTCGTTAAGCGTGCTGAGCTCCACATTCAGTTGAGTATTGTGTGCCTTCTGCTTGAGCACGCGCTCCTGTTCCCGCTGCTTCTGTGCATTCATTTCGGCAATGCGTGCCTGTTCCCATTCCTGCTGGCGCTGCTTCTCTAGTTCCCTGAGCGAAACACAAAAGATTAATATAAATGAAACACTTTGTTGTGTTGTAGGTCGCAACTAACTTTCTGGCCACCTCTTTGGCCTCCAGTTCACGTTGACGCTGCTCCTCTTTTTCCTGTTCGATTTCACGCTGACGCTGCAACTGTCTCTCCAATTCCTCCTTCTGCTTTCGCTCGGTTTCGAGGCGCGCCTTCTCTCGCTTGTCCGCTTCCTCGCGTTCCTTGCGCTCGCGCTCCTCTCGCTCCTTGCGCTGCTGATCCTCGATTAGCTTGCGCCTGCGATCAAGTTCCACCTTGCCCTTCTCGTAGTTCTCCTTGCGCTTGTCCTCAAAGGAAGCTGTGTAAGAAACATACAATTATATTTATGTACATAGGAGCACTGTTTTTTTTTTACTTACTCTGAGGTAAGCCCGCTAAGGGATCCGCATCGGACATGACGCCACCTTGGGATGACACCGAGGTGTGTCGCGAGGCGGGCTGCGAGCCGGGACGTGAGCTCACGCCCGAAACGGAGCCCGGTCGTGACTTGATCTTGCGCAAACTTGGAGGCACCCAATCGAGTGGCAGACTGACGGGTATCTTTTCCCCGGCCATGGCCTTCTCGCAAAGGAACATTGCCAAAATGAACTCATCGCAGCTCAGCCGCCCGTCGCCATCAACATCGGCCAGCGTCCAGATCTGTGCCAGGGTCACCTGCGGCAACTTGCTCTGGACGAGCACGCTGCGTGCCTGTGCACCCGTCAAGTATCCAGAGCGCGTACGATCATTGGCATTGAAGACCTGCGTATATTTTCGTTTCTGTGCCGCCTGCACCGCCCACTCTGCTCCTTGGCTGTAAATTGAAGCAGATGAATACAGGTTAACTCAAGAAGCTCAATAAATAATAGAGAATTATGTGAAACTCACGGCGACTCAATGGAGGGCGCACGCTCTGAAATGGACATATGACGACTAGGTGGATTGCTTTGCGGTGGCGACACAATCGCAGCGGCGGGCACAGCGGCAGCAACGGGCACCGGTACCACAATTGGCGCTGCAATTGGAATTGGTGCAGCGACAACAGGTGCGACCATAGGTGCTGCCGGCACAGCAGCCACAATGTTTTTAAGTGGATCTATTGGACTCATCGAACTGGTTGAGCCACGTGGCGTCATCGTGGGCGTCGCTGAATCCGTCAGCGAGCTGAGTAATGTGGGCGGCAGTGTTTTGGGCACTTCCAAGCCGCGCAGCTTCAGATTGATTAGCTTGCATGCTATGCTAAACTCGTTAATATTCATTTTACCATCGGAATCCGTGTCAGCCAGTGCCCTGTATATATAATATATATAAAATACATAAATAATGCATTAGAGATGGGAGCGTCATTCGTGGCTGCAGTATTCTTATTTATGATTTCAATCCTTAAAAGATTCCACATTTAGTACATTTAAATCCGTTGTGTTTCATAATTTTCGTGAGCAAAAATTAGTCGGCATTGCTCAAATGCACACATCTCTAATCCATATCAATTGAAACCAGAACAAAACAGAGCTTCAGCCATATACATATAGATATAGAGTATATATATACTATATATATATATATATATATAGTTGTGTTCTTATCTTTCGTCAAGGCATGATAAGTGCAAGTGAATAACAAAAATAACAATGAGTCAGTCACAGTTAGTTTGAATGCTTACCATATTTGGCCCAAGACCAGTGGCGGCAACTGCGATTGCAGAAAGAATCCTTTCGCCTGGGCTCCGGTTACAAAGCCGCCCTGCGGTTGCAGTGCCTTAAACTGCTCCTGGTACTTGAGCTTCTCGCGCGGTGTCACCGCAGACACATCCACTGCTGGGTTCATTTTATTGGCTCTTTTCTGTGTCGACTTCCTTCGAGTGCGAGCTACTTTTTACTTCTTTGCTTTGCTTTTTCGCAAAGTATCTTCTTGCTGTATATGGATTTATGTATATGAATGTGTATGTGTGTGTGTGAGTTGGTTTTGGTGTTGCTATCGTAAAACGTGTGTATTTTTCGTAACCGACTCCGACTCCCCCACAACAACAACAACACTAAGCTAGCTCACAGCTCTTAGTTATTTGTGTGTGTGTGTGCGTGCGTTTGTGTTTTGTTCTTGTTTAATGCGCTCTCTTCGGCCGCTGCTGAGTACACATCAAATACATGTCATGCTCCTTCCACTGCACACACACACACGCTCGCTTACTCGTTCGCTCACTCACTCGCTCTCTCGCTCGCTCACGCTGGCTTACGCTCTTTTACTATTGAGTATCCGTTTTGCTCCCACCACCCCACAATTTTTCACAATGGATTTTTATGGTTTACCTAAAATGCAATTGTAAATTGTTAGAAATTCATTTCACTATTAGCAACAACTATAGAAGGCAATAAACAACAAATAAACACCTAGTTCTCAATATAAATGTTTTCGTTGTTGTATCGGAATTGTCGCTTGAATATTTTTGTGGGCGTTTTGATAACTCGAAAAATCCACATTCACTGAGAATGCTGGTATTGATTTATTCTTAAACTTTATGCTATAGTTTTGTGCTCGTAGAAATGCTTACTTTTCATTTGTACACGGAAATTTTGGTAAAATTTTACTATTTGTAACTTCTTTTTGTCGTGCAAATTAATTGTTCACGAACTAACCAAAACGAACTGTCCTAACGTGAACGAGCGAAAAGAGTCAACTTTGAACTAGTTTATTCATTCAATGGCTCAGGGTTCTTCAACACTGCTATCGATATGATTTTTTACCAGCCCTCACTACATTGAAATATTGCATTTTAAATAAGAACAAAACCTTCTGGGTAGTAAAATTTAAAATTTAATTTATATATCCAAAGGATGCCACATATGATCATATTTTTCAACAATACTGTAACCCTGGTATATCGATACATCGCTGTCATATCCTCAAAAAACATAAAATATTATCGATAGCGCAGGTCATCCAAGTAATCCATCTCTACGCTCTTTTCTCGCTGAGCACGTGTGACGACTGGTAATGTACGCTAAAACAAGGGCGTAAAAAAATATATAACACAATGTCGGAAACTTCAGAAGACGAACAAGCGCAATTGCAAACAAGTGAAGAAGAGCTAAGCGATGAGGAGGGCCAGGAAGAAAATGCCGAAGACGTGGATGAAGATAACGTAGATGACCAGTCAGCAACTAGTTCTGACGAAGAAGAGACACCCAAGGCGGAACAGCCACTGACATGGAAAGATCTTGTAAATTTACTCAACATAACCAAGTATTCAGCATACTAACAAATTGCGTAAAAAATTAATTAGGGCCTCAGTGAGACGCTGTGCAAGGCGTGCGATGAGCTCAAGTGGAAAGCCCCCTCCAAAATCCAAAAGGAGGCAATTCCCGTTGCGCTGCAGGGCAAAGATGTCATCGGCCTGGCCGAAACGGGTTCTGGCAAAACGGGCGCATTTGCTCTACCCATTTTGCATGCCCTGCTCGAAAATCCGCAGCGCTATTTTGCACTCGTGCTGACGCCCACACGTGAACTGGCCTTCCAAATAGGCGAACAGTTCGAGGCATTGGGTAAGTTATTAATAATATATATATATATATTATACACCCATTATCCAAACCCACTATGATGTGAAAACCCTTTTTGATTTTATGTTCCTAAACGAAAATATGAAATTATAATTTTCTAATTCGTCACTACCTCTGAGTAAATGTTGTATCTCATAAATGCATATACTCGAATCTCTGCATATTTTTCAAGAGTAGCTTTTGTTTTTCTCACACCACAGGCAGTGGGATTGGCATCAAGTGCTGTGTCATTGTGGGCGGCATGGATATGGTTGCCCAGGGTCTGCAGCTGGCCAAGAAACCGCATATTATTATTGCCACGCCCGGCCGTCTGGTGGATCATTTGGAGAACCTCAAAGGTTTCAATCTAAAGGCCATCAAATATTTGGTCATGGATGAGGCGGATCGCATACTCAACATGGATTTCGAGGTGGAGCTAGACAAGATCTTGAAGGTGCTACCACGTGAGCGTCGCACCTTTCTCTTTAGCGCCACAATGACGAAGAAGGTCAAGAAGCTGCAGCGTGCTTCACTCAAAGATCCCGTCAAGGTGGAGGTTTCGAACAAGTATCAAACAGTCGACCAACTGCAGCAGTATTATCTGTTCATACCGGTCAAATACAAGGATGTCTATCTGGTGCACATTCTAAATGAACTGGCCGGCAACAGCTTCATGATTTTCTGTAGCACCTGCAACAACACAGTGAAGACCGCTCTAATGTTGCGTGCCCTGGGATTAGCTGCCATTCCGTTGCATGGCCAAATGTCGCAGAATAAACGTCTGGCGGCTCTCAACAAATTCAAGGCGAAGAATCGTTCCATACTGATATCAACGGATGTTGCCTCGCGTGGATTAGACATACCCCATGTGGATGTGGTGGTCAACTTTGATATACCCACCCATAGCAAGGATTATATTCATCGTGTGGGTCGCACGGCGCGTGCTGGACGTTCCGGTCAGGCCATCACCATTGTTAGTCAGTACGACATTGAGCTGTATCAGCGCATCGAGCAGCTGCTGGGCAAGCAGTTGCCGCTCTACAAGTGCGAGGAGGATGAGGTGATGGCGCTGCAGGAGCGTGTCGCCGAGGCGCAACGCACTGCCAAATTGGAGTTCAAGGATCTGGAAGATAGCAAGGGTTACAAAGGTGGCAGAGGTAATAAGCGTACTGCCGCCAGCGATAATCAGGATGATTCCGAACAATTTACAGGCGCACGAAAACGCATGAAACCGATGGGTGGAAGGGGGGGTGGCAAAGGTGCGGGGGGACGTGGCCTAGGTAGAGGTGGTGCGGCTAAAAAGAATTGGGGCCGGGGCAAAAATAAAAATTAGCCATATAAGATTATAGTTAAGTCATTTTATAAATTGTAATTATATATATAAAAAATAAAAATTAGGTTAAACTAAAAAAACCTTTTTTAAAGTAATTTAATAAATTGTAATATAATAAAAAATTAAATACACATTTCAATTGTGTAAAACTCAAAAAATACACTTTTTCATTAAGTACTTTTATAAAAGAAACAAGTATGCGCTGCTCAACAGCGCTTCAACTGAAATTAATATCAAAATTCTGCAAGGCCTTCATGAGCTGAAACGAAAAGAGAAATTTTGAGAATTATAGAAATTATACTTTAATAAAAATAAATAATATGTTACTATAAATAATATATTTAATGTAATAAATGATATATAAATATATAATATTAATAAAAATAAATAGAATAAAAAACTTTAAATAATATAATAAATAATATTAGTTTAAGCATATCGGAATGAATAACTTACACGTTGTCTTAGGTAAGTCCGATATTCATCTCGACTTGCTTATCAAAACTGTTGATTCTGATGTGACAGAAATCTGTTGTCCGATCTCATAACAATTGGAGGAAAAGAAGGAGCATGTTGCGTGGATGATGATGACTGCCTGATAATGATGCCCGCTATCTGTTGCACCTTTTCAGCCAGAACTATTTGATTCTTGTCGATGGCATCTTTTAAAATAGATTTGAAGAATGCAGTTGGTACAGGGAAACCACTTTTGAACAGATGCTCCAGTTGCTCACTGTAATTAATCCAATTAGCCGAGGCCAATATGCGAAGTAGATGTTCAAATAATGCAGGATGCGTTGCTGCATTGTGTGGCTTCCACAAATGATTCATAAAGTGCGACGCTGCCACGTCCGGAGTCAGCCCACAGCGCACCAGTAGCTGATAAAGCTCCGTGAGAAAGGGCACACTAAACGCCAAATAGAGATCACAATCTTTGACCATTTCAATCAGATTTGACAACATGCCTCGCCTGGCAAATGTCTCGGCGAACAGTGGGAAATAGGCTTTAAAGAGGAGGCCATGTCGCAGCAGGAGGCCATAGTTCTCGCGCACCTTATCCGGCGGCAGATGATTGAGGGTACGTTGCACGTCGCCAATGTTATGGAGCAAATGATTGCAATTGAGTTGCTGGCATCTGCCATCCAAATAGCGCCAGCACTTAATGCCAAAAATTGTTGTTCTATTATCGTCACTTGCATAGATATTGAGTATGCTTGCGGGCATCGTGTTGACAACTGCCCCAGAGTGAGGCTGCAGGCGAAGGGGTGGCGCAAAAATGGGCACAGGCGGTGCAGGTTTAGCTGCTGGAATTGACTGCCTGGGGTTGCTGTTGGTTATCTGATTAGTCTGCTGCTGATGCTGCAGCATTTGTCTATGTTGCAGCAACTGCGGCTGCGCACTTGAAGCCTTAGGTTGCTGCGGCTCCTTTGCTCCTTGGCTCATAGACGACTCAATCACTTTCTTTGGTATGCAAAAGTTGATAAATTCTGTAGAAGCCGCTTTGGGAGTAGCTGGTGATTTTTGCTGCATTACTTTTGGCTCTTCTGTTGTATACTTCAAATCTGATTCAAAGTCATCTTCGCCATTCCAAGATGTGTCCACTGATATAGCATCAATATCATCATTGCCATCATCAAATTCATAATTGAGCACTTTATCTGCTAGTGTATCCTCTTCCAAAGGTGTTTTATCGCTGACAGTGAATGATAGACTGGGCAAATTATTAATGCAATTGACGGTATCACCTATTTCATGTTCAATCTCAATAAGCGTTTGGTCACTGAAGCCGGCCAAGCAGCGTTCGATTTCGGCAACACCAGGAATGTCTTCGGTCAGCGCATTGACTATATCATCCGATAATAGCAGACTGATATCCTGACAACTGGGCAATGGATCGGCCACTCGTATTGAGTCCTCAATGTGAATATCTTGCAGCTCATAATCAGATTTGCTATTTGGTAAAATCGATGATGTGGTTTGATTGATTAGCTCATCAAATATACTTATATTTGGCACACTCAGATTTTCACCCGATTCAACTGTTGGTATCAATTTCGATTGCGATGATAAGCAAACGATACCATCATCATCATTATCAGCTAGATCACCTGTTGCTCCACATGTCAAGTCAAGGGCTGACGGTGGCTTGCCCGCCGGTTCTTTATTGGCAACCTTCATCTGTGGTAACAAAAAAGATTGATTAGGTGGCACATACTCAAGTAAAGTACAACCTACTTTTACTGTTTTTGAACGAAAATTGTTGCGCTTTACTTTCGTATTTAGTTGCGTTGTTTGCTTCGCTATTTTCGCCGACGATTTCATCTTTATTTGCGAACGAGTTTGCCTCTTTTCGATAATGGGCTCCTTCTTTAAGTCAAGCTCTGGTTTTTGCTGCACCACATATTTCGTTATTTTTGATGGATTCCTCTTATTGTTCGGCTTCTTTGCTGCTTTTTGCTTTGGAATAATTTCATTTGGCTGCTCTATCAATTGGATTTCTGTTTTATTATTTATCTAAGGGAACATAAATTTATAAGCTTTAACTGTGTTTGAAGCAAATAGACAATAAACATTTTAATAGTATTGCAGGTGGTATAATAAATCTGTTAAGTTAGCAACGCATTTAAGTGTTTTATATATTATTGACCAGCTTCACTAACCATGTCCCTGTCTGAATTTTTTAGTCGTATATGCGGAGAACTATCTTAGTTTTAATACTATCTAGCTCAAACTTAATATATATTCAAATATTTTGCCTTTGCAGGCGACCGGATCATACAACTCTATTATAGTTGCCATGGAAACAATCGGCCAATGTATTGTTTCACGTATTATAAAATATATATACTTATTACCAATATATCGCAACCCATACTCATAGCTGTTATTAAGTGCCTTATTTTTGGAAATACAGATTCACATGATCGGACCATTATGTCACTTAGCCATAGGAATAATCGGTTGACAGATTGGTTTTAAAGCACAGATAGACATAGACATACAGTGTCTCACAGTTTAAAAGACGCAGTGTCTAGCCAAAAAAAAAAATTCCCCCCCAAAAAAAAAAAATAATATTTTTTAAAAAAAAAAAAAAAAAAAAAAAAAAAAAAAAAAAAAAAAAAAAAAAAAAAAAAAAAAAAAAAAAAAACAGTTTAATTTTTTTTTTTTTTACTTATAGACTTTAAATTTTTGTTTGACATACTATACATATCTGTCAAGCCTGGCTGATACATAAAATATAACTACAAAAATGTATTTATTGAGTTTGTTAAACAAAAAAACAGAAGTATCATTTAATTAAAAAAATTATATTTCAAACCGAATTAAAAATACGGTTTCTTATCAAAAAATTTCATTTGAAATTCAGAACAGATGGTCCAATTAACATAATTTTTTGAAACTTGATCCATACAAAATAAATATAGTCAAGAAGTTGAGTTCTATATATTTTGTATAACAAATGCTACTCACTTATTTGAATGAATAAATATTAAAAAAAAGGCAACCATATGGAATAAGCCCTTACGCTTACCTTGCTTTCCGGTTGCTCTTGTTTTTCTGGTAGTGCAATCTTCACCTGGCTCGAGCGATCTAGATTCAAAGTTGTTATTTTTGTTATTGTCTCCTTTGCTTTTTTTTTGGTATTCTTTGAATTTTTGCTGGTGGAAGCAAGAGATGGATGCTCGTTCACTGCTGCTGTTTTATACTGAGGCAGCATCATGGCATTTATGTCCAGTTTAATGCGTTTTCGCAACATGGAAATTGGCTCCAATTCATTCTCCCCTGTGTGGGAACAAGTTTTGCGATTCGAGCTCGGCGAATGTGGCTGCTCCTGGCCCAGACATGAGGATGCGCTTTTAATTAAACATTCCTCCTACAGGCGTGAGAAATGTAAATCAATTCTTGAAATATATTTCTATTTATACTTATTGAACAAAAATTTACACAATCAATTCGTATAAATGGCTCCGTTCTCGAATGCATGGAATTCCAAAAATTGATGTAGTGCTCCTGCCATTCCTTTGAGCTATATTTGTTTATGCCCACTCTTTTAACTAGTTGCACCCACACTCGTATAAAATCACGCCTACGCATTTCTCAAGGCAATTATTTCGATAAATCTTCAAATTAAATCTTCTACCAAAAAGGTGGACGACGCTGCGTCACAACTAATAAACGTTTCCCTCTTTTGCACAAGTGCCGTTATGACGGTGCTGCATAATTCGCAAAATAAGAAGCGATACCATCGCATTCGCCAATATTAATGATTACTTTGCAAAACCGTTATCGATACAAAGGACACTCACTGTCTTCTAAATGCAAATTTAAACTTAATTTTGAATCCGTAGCGTCTTATCCAATTTTAAAGTTTACTAATTACTAATTAATAATGTGTGAAACTTTAAAAGGCTCGTGCTCAATTATTATTTAATATCGATGATTTGGAGCGACGATAAGACAGATACATGACAAACTTATGTAGTAATACATGTATGCATCGGTTTATTCGGAGAAATACCAGGATTATCCCGAGTCGCGCTCAATATATATGTATAAATATAAATATAAAACATGGAGTCAATTTCAGGTGTGTTTGTATACGAATACGCATCGACGTAATTTATTGGCCCAAAAGTGTACATTACAATTAATCTAATTTAAAATGTCTACAATATAAAACAATATTAAAGGTCAAGAATTTTACTAATCTTAAATATTTGCACAACGCACGCGGCCAATTAAAACTGCGAGCTGCCAATCCAGCCAACAACACATGGTTTGCCTAACACTGTACGTCAAAAAGTTCGCAGATGCCTTCATCGTTTTTCAGCACGAAATTGAAGTCTATTTGTGGCGGATTCAGTTGCACTAAAGGCGGATTTTCTAAAAGCAAAAACGTTATTAGAGCCATAAATTAATTAGTGATATGTATATAAAAGTGCTACCTAAATCTGGATCATCGGGGTAAAATCGCCTCATTGAGTGGCCAGCCATATAATTTTGAAAGATTATCTTTGCCGTCAGTTCATTCTCCAGTGCCTTCATCTCCTCCTTCAGTTCGGGATTACAGGAATACGTATGCTCGTCCTTTATAATGTTGCCAGTGCCTCCACCAGTATCACTGGAATGCGACGGTGACGACATTGGCGACTGCTCATCCGAATATCGATCATCGAAGGGCCCATCTGCATCATTAGGATTCGTAGTGCCCTTACCCTGGTTGGTAACCAAACGGATGTCGATTGTGCTCCCATTGTCCAATGAAACACGCAGCTCATTCTGTCAACGCAATTGCAATTGTTTTTAAATAAAAAATTAGCATTTAATTGTTAAATTTAGATTACATACGTCACTGCGCTGAATTTCGACCTCTTCGTCACAGTTTGGTATGGTAAATACGGAATCATCACCAAACTGATTAAGTAGATCGTCTCGCGTGACATACGCGTACGATTGATTAACTGGATCCTGCATCACATAGTTCAGGTTGCGTTGCGCATAATCCAATTGCCTATCCAAATCCTCCTCTATTGATTTCAGATGATTCGTTTGCTCACAGGCGATGTCATAGTCCTTGCATTCCTTGGCATTGTTAAAGCCGCCGCCGCTATAAAAAGATAGTCATATTGACTTATTTAATTATAAGGTATTAAAAGATAAAATAATGACAAGATTGAGCCCAAACTTTGAGAGCTTCATAATTGAATCAAATATATATTTATATATTTGGTACTTTAAAATTCTGGCTCTGTAGAAAAAATTAGTTTGCTTCCTTTGCATATTTGCAATTGTTCATTAAATTATTGTTTGGGAAAGTTAAATCTGGCGCATTTAATTGCTGCTAGATTAAAGTCATCAAAAAAGCAATAAATAAACAATTTAATTTTGTTTATATACATAGTCATCTATAATAATAATAATAGATCAGCCAAATCAATTGGGTGAGTGCTTACCGCCAACGCACTAGCGAACAGTGTCTCCCCTTGTCAATTAGCCCGATGCCCTCCAGCACATTGGTGATATCATAGATGCGTCTCTTCTGCACGTCCAAGATTTTGGTGGCCTGCAACAATAAATAAATAAATATGTATATATATATATGGAATACAGTAATCAATTGCAAGGTGTTACTTCTTTCAGATCTATGGTGCCGCCATTCCGCTTCATTAGTTCAACGAATTTTTGGGTCAACAATACCAGCGAACCCACAGAGCGCTGCTGCTGTTGTGGACTTGGCTGTGCTTGAGTTGGTAGAGCTTGTGATTGTTGTTGTTGCTGTTTTTGTATTTTGGGCTTTTGTTGTTTCGCATCCAGAGGCAGGTCTATGTGGAAGGTGCCATAGGGCTGTTTGACAGCCTTCAGGTCATCGTGGACACTGGCGGTGTCATCAGTATCGGGACTGCTGCTGCTGGCAGTGATCCGCTGCTTGGTGACTATTGTCGCAGATTTACGCTTGTACATGGCGCGCACTCAAATAAAAGTCTCCGTTCGATGTTTGGTTACTAATTTGTTGGCGTTATCGATTTGCTGCGTGTTTCAACAATGAAAATATTCACGTATTTTTATTATAATTCTCAATTAAATACAAATGTTGGCGCTTGAGCACAATTCCGCCATTTATGTCACTTTTTTTCATTCTCCCAGCACTGCGCACCAGAACTGTACCCAATCAATTTATCGACCAACCGCCACCAATTGTCGTCCAAATGAGGTTGGCGCAATTATTTCCATGCGCGTTTACAAGGCAATAACATTTGCTTATTTTAAGGTTAAGCTCAATTCAACATAAATTTTGGTGCCTATGCAAAATTTTGCTGTCTTTATAGCAATTTAATTGAGTTGCACTGCAATCAATATACCTTTACCACACCTCTACCAATTTATCGAAGAGCACGATTTATCGAACAATTAAACATGACTATTTTTTATTTCAATATACATATTTAAAAAAAAAATATATATATATATAGCTAAGTCATTAGCGTTTATAGTGTTTTTTCAATGTCCGCCTATATGAAATTCTTTTCTACATGAACTAACACATTTCTTATTTACGCGCCACGAGGGGCGCGCTTTCTCAGCTGCTTTAATTGCGTGTCACGCTGTACGACCCATTTTTTCATCATTGTTCCAAAATAACAAATCCACATTTTGTGGTGAGCTTTCTTTTTGTTACTTATAACTTAACTGTTTATTCTTCTTTTTTTCACATGTGTTGGATGTGCTACAAGCTTTTAACCAGCCCTCCATTTAACTCATTGTCTCGAAACGTTGTTGTAAATTGCATTACTTATAACACGTAGACACTTATGCACTATTGATATGGCTTAAATATTATTTTTTTACCTGAAAAACAAATTTTTATAATCTATTCCAAGCAACACAATTCACAAAGTGATAGTTTGAACAAGTCAAGCGCGCCCACATGTCAATGCAGCTTCAATGTTTCCCAACACTATTGCTGTATTGTCCACCACTATAACTCAGTTTGTTTTGCTCCTTTATTCGGAATAAAAAACAACGTGCAAACTTTTCGAATTATTTCTTAAAGAAAAGCGGACAAATATCGAAATGCCTTCGAAAATGAAGCCCAGACTGTCGCGGGGCGTATTGGATATGAAGTTCATGCAACGCACCAAAGCCAAAGTGGAAAAGGAAGATGATGACGAGCAGAGCCGAGCCCTGTACTCGAATGAGCTAAACCAAAAGATGCTCAATAGTAATTCAAATTTTATAATCGAGCCCAGTTATTCGATTTGTGCCGGTCTCAGTGATGGACGACTTAGTTTTCGAGGAATGAATCCTGAACTGGAGCGCCTGCTGGAACTGGAGCGGGCTGAAAAGGAGGGCAAAACGAAACCCGAGCAACCAACCGAGGTTAACGACGAGCAAATGGCAGAAACCTATTATGCCAATCAAGCAACGGCCATAAGCAAAACAATCCAAAAAAAAATGACAGCGAGGAATGATATCAACAAGCGCAAATCCAATCAGAAGAAGATGCAATTTAAAAAGCCACGCCAGGACGATGGCGGTATATAATGTTCACGTTTTACTTTAATAACTAAGTTAATAAAATACATATCAGAGCTCCGACATATAAGACCAGCCAAGATAGCGAAATTCATTAACGCATCTGACTGGGCAAATGTTTGACTTGTTAGAATGATTTGGAGGCACGACTGCAGGAGAAAATCCCTGAATCCCATTCGGTATCACAACGGGGCAATTATGGCCTAAGTGCGTCAGCCCATCAGGCTGACAGCCGATATAACCTAACCTAACCTAATAAAATACAGTCAATGAGATGAGGCATATTCGTCCGGCTTTTGCTTAATCGCTTGCAGCGCATAACACAGCTGTGTGGAGTTTATCCAGCGCCAAGTGTTGTGCCAAAAGTCGTAGGTGCTGCCATTGATGAGCACCGTCTGGCAATTCACTGCAACGAGAGGAGAAATTCAAAAAGATTGCTCGCCTTATATTTATGATCTAATCCTTACTCGTATCCAATATGCGCTGCACATCGAGAGGTGCTATCATTTTATCCCAGTGATGTGTGCCCCTTGGAGCCAAGCTCAGCACATATTCGCCAAGGACAACGCCACCCATCCACATCGGTATTGTTTTATTAAGGGTGGTGATGAAAATGGAGCCGCCTGGCTTTAGTGTTTGCACGCAGGAGTTAAGCAGTGCCACCTTATCGTCGACATGCTCAAGCACTTCGGACACAACAATCGCATCGTAGGATTCACAATTCTGCATTGCATGTTGATTAATTGCTTCCGCTTCATATTGGACTCGCGAGCTGAGTTCTGGGCTGCAGTTGCTCAGGTGAGCACGTGCCGCTTTAACGAGCTCTTCACCCAGATCAATGCCAGTTACTTGAGCCCCTAGGCGAGCCAGTTGCTCCGTCAGCACCCCAGCGCCACAGCCCACATCCAATATGCGTTGGCCATCCAGCACTTTTGTGGTGTTTATATAATGGGATTTAACATTGCCACGAGCCACAATTCCATCGCGTATTAGGGGTACTCTATAAATCAACTTCTATAGTAAATATATCAATTGACTTAACAGCCACTTACCTGATTTCATTTAAAGCATGCAACGCTGCAAGCGGACCATTTTTGTTCCACCAATCGGTGGCATACTTTTCATGATGTTTGACTTCCCGATCAGTTTCTGCGCTCTGTTGTTGCTGTTGTTGGGAGCCATTGTATAAACAGATGTTCCTCGATAGCACGCTGACAAGTGCGTGACTTATCCTAGTTAATAATAAAACAATTATGTGCACCAGATTGTAATATGTTTGGCATACTTGATGCGACTTAAAAGCCCATAATTTTGCAACATCTTGCCTGTATTAGAAACGCTTATGTAAAACAGCTGCTATTATTATAATTATCGATAAGGCGATTATCGATTATGTCTCGCATAATAGCGAAAGGATCGATAATTGGAGGGTTGACACAATCGTAATAAGTTTTTGGCCTAGAAATGGCCTGTTGTTGCTTGCAAATAAAGGAATCGATAGCTAATCGATATTTAAAGAACACATTGATTTTTCTGTAAATCTAATTTATTTATTAACATTAAATTGCTACTAACTAAAATGGCTCCTGTATGCGATAACAATCCGAGAATATTTTCCATTTGTCATTTTCGGCGGTTATCAGAAAGGATTGCTGAAAATTGCGCACGGGGTGATCAGCAAACTTAACCGTTCCACTGGCCAATATCGTATATGTTCTCTGCTCCCCTACTGAGGGATCTAGAATGGGTTGCGCATCCAGCGTTGTCATCTGATGGCGCGACGTTGGCAACTCCTTCAAGAATTTCTCAATTGTCTCACGACCCTGTGCGCCATTGCCGTTCCAGCTTAAGTTTGCGCCGTCTAAATACAAGAGACCCATCTGAGCTCGCCGATTGTCCAAGGTTGCATAGTAGAGTCGAGTAAAGTCTTCAGCCGTGCGACAGCAGGCTTCAATTTTGCTCTTCAGATCGCTGTTCATCGCTTTTGCGTTCGAAGCGATGATGAATGCAAATACCGCAATTTTATAGCTCGTTCGATAACATTAGAAATCGCCAAAATCTACGATGAATCGGTTTAGACACGACACACTAATAAAAAGTTAACATATCACTTGAAAAGTCTTGCAACGGATTGCTAGAAATCGATACTTAAAATATCGCGGCGAAATACTAAATTTTTAACACTTGTCGAATCACAATTGCTGTGAGGCTTGCGATAAGGACACACTTGTGAAATAAAGGTCACGGTAATTGGCAAAACTGGCATAAATATATAGTATTAGATAACTGCAGTAGAATGTACAAAGCCGGTGAACCGCTGCTCAACCACGACGATGACGTTGAAAATGCCCCGGATCGGAATATGCAAAGGGGCAATGTGCATGCACTGCAAATGTTCCTGCTATCCACATTTCTGTTGCTCTTTCTGGCCGGTTCCGCGTTCCATCCCAAACCGTTGATGCTGCGGTCCGCGGAACATCGACGTGACGACCAGCATTACGATTGTAACATAAGCCTGGTCGAGTCCATACCCATTGGCCTGAATTATACACCAAATAGCCCCAAGTTCATGAGCACCTTTGAAGCGTGGCAACGATTGCTGGATCTCGGTAATTCCACCCTGGACATTGGCTCCTTCTACTGGACAATGCGGGGCGAGGATACGGGATTCAATCACAGCAGCGCCGAGCCTGGTGAGCAAATTTTCAACCGTCTGCTAGCTAACGGGCCAGATTTCATTGGCGGGAGTCCAAAGATCAAGATCCGCATTGCACAAAGCGAACCCTCGAGTGTGTCCCCCAATTTGGACACTAAAATACTGGAGAGCTATGGTGCCGCCAAGGTGGTATCACTGGATTTTCGCAAGTATCTGGGCGGTGGCATTCTGCACACAAAGCTCTGGATTGTCGACAATAAGCACTTTTATCTGGGCAGCGCCAACATGGATTGGCGTGCATTGACACAGGTCAAAGAGTTGGGCGTCTTGGCTCAAAATTGTCCGCAGCTAACTAGCGATTTGGCCAAGATATTCAAGGCGTACTGGTATCTGGGCAGTAATGCCGATGCACGCATCCCTTCCTCCTGGTCCTTTGATTACAAAACTGACTACAACAAGGAGCAGCCCATGATATTGAATGTGAACAAGGAGTACACAATGCAGGCATTCGCATCCAGTGCTCCTCCGCCCCTTTCTGCCCCCGGACGTACTCACGATCTAGATGCCATTTTAAATTCGATTAACTCGGCTTTGGAATTTGTGCACATCTCTGTCATGGATTACTATCCGCTCATTGTCTTTGGACAAAAGCTCCAGTTCTGGCCGGCCATTGATAACGCCATACGCTCGGCGGCCATTGAGCGTGGTGTCCACGTTAAGATGCTCATTTCGTGGTGGCAACATTCCGATGCTAGCATGGATCACTATCTACGCTCACTTCAAGATCTCACCATGAGCAATCGTCATGTGAACATTGAAATTGTGAGTAAAAATTGATTACATTATGTTTGTTTATATTTATTTTTATTACTCATTCGTCATTAAAGCGTCGATTTATTGTGCCCGCCGATGAGGATCAGAAGCGAATTCCCTATGGGCGGGTGAATCACAACAAGTATATGGTGACCGATAGAGTGGCGTATATTGGCACCTCCAATTGGTCTGGTGACTATTTCACAGACACCGCTGGCATTGGCCTTGTCTTAAAGGACACTGTGCCCAACATGACGGCTTCGATACGCAATGATTTACAGAACATTTTCGATAGGGACTGGAATAGTACTTATGCACATGCCTTGACATAAGCATTACGTCCAGCATTGTATTATTGTGCGACTGAAAGCTTTATCAATGACCTCATATCATATCAGTTCCATGCTATCTAACCATCTTTTGATAATTACAGTATTTTTACGATGCTTTGTCCTGCACTTTATACGCAGTTTTAATAAAGTTCTGCTCTATCTTTGTTAATGTAGCTTTGTACTTTTTACTTTTTTTATTTTACCTCGAAAATTAGCTTCATTATGATATTTGCACATGTTAAGATAAGAAATACAAATTTCTCGCATTGTTAATAAAGTTCTGCTCTATTTTGTCATTGTGTATATAATTCAAATACTCATTCCATAACATTAACTTTAAACTAATAATATGCGGTGCTTTTTAGAATTCAATACGTTTTTCCGAACTACCATTGAGATTTACACACTTATTTCACGTTATTTCCGCCACGCCTCAGGAAATTGTTGCTGGCAATGCTCTTCTCAATAATCAAATTAATATCAGACACACAGCCTGTTAGACAGTCGTAGATGTGCAGCAGGCAACGTGCATCAATAGCTATAAATAAGTAAAAAGAATTGATTCTTAATATGTTATTCTTTGGCTTAGGAAGTGATTTTAAATTTCAAACATTGACATAGAATAAAGGTTTTAATAACATTTGTAACATAACACGCAGCATTGTACCTAACAGACGTAATCGATATCGATCGATATCGATGATGCGATCGTTACGAATAGAGGAGCCGATGTGTTTAAACTATACAATTTCATTTTGTCTGCTACAATTATTAATCATTGGTAAGCATATTTGTTTAAGAGCATGTCTTGACTATTCTTATTGTAATATTGAAGAGTTCATTTTACTCACCTGCATATAGAATCTGTTCGCGTCGCAGCGGTCGATTTGCCCAATTGGAGCACTGATTGGCTTTGTTTAGCTTTTTGCCCAGACAAAGCATGGTTAAATCTGTGAGTGCATCGCCGGCACGATTTAGATTGCCAAAGGGCAACTCAATGCCATGGCGCTGTTTTTTCAGCTCCAGCCAAACAGTGCGCAGATCGAGATAATGGTGCGGCATGTGGAGACGCAGCTGCAGTGGCAGCGAACGTTGCAGCACCGACAGATCGTTGAGCATGGAGAAGCCCACCTTGAGAATGTTCACATTGTTGAAGACAGTGGCGCCGAGGGCACGCCAGTGATCTTCGTGTAGCGCCTGGTTGGCCAGGCAATCGATGAGGTACACATTGTGCGTGGTAGCAATCTGTAGCAGACAGAGCTGATTCTGTACGCAGACGTTCTGCATCCACTCCGCGTCCATGTAGATGATCTGCTCACGCTGTAGATGCTGCAGCATATGCTCGAATATCGGCGCTGTATCTACAATGATGAGGCATTTATCCGGCAGATCCATGCTCAGGTACACTTCAGACGTTGTCTCTTGGATTTGCTCCATGGATTTTTGATGTCGCTGTTGCTGTTGTTGCTGCTGCGGTTGTTGCTGTTTGTTTTGTGAAATTAGGGATTTGATTTCGTGCGGACAATCCTGAGGAAGCAGCTTGAACTCATTGTGCCAATAGACGGCCTCCGATGCATTCGGACTGAGCACAGTTGCCGCCGCCAGATAGCTGACAAAGTCCACCTGTAGTGCATAGTCATAAGCATGGACGCTCACCAACTCTCGGAAGCTGGCCAGATTGATGCGCGACTTTTCGTATTCGCGGTACAGGTAATGTAAGTAGCTGCAGGTCTTTGTGAATTTGTAGTTAGGCGTAATAGAGTCATCGAATTCGTATTTCTTGGCTAGGCGTGCCACGATCTTTGAGACGGGGCGATAGCTTAGCACATGATGCGACACCTTCAGATTCTTGTAGCCACTACAAAAAACAAAGCAGATTAAATATCATACGCTAAATAAATACAAGTCTGACCACCTTAGGATATTTTCACATAGCTCAATCACGGATTTCTCCTTGTGCAGCAGCGAGTCGAGAAACTTGACGAATGGCAGACGTTGATGGGTCGCCTGTTCCAGGTACTCTTCGGCCAACGGCAGCTTTTCCTGCGCAATCAGCGGAAAGGCCAATTCCATCATATCAAATTGATGCGTTAACTGCAAATTGATTGTCCACTGGGCGACCTCCTTGTAGAAACCGCTGTCGAGCATCTCGCGCAGCTTGGGCACCAGCAATTCGCGTATTTGATGGATGCGATATGCCTGCACCATGGCATTATTTAGCGATTGTAGTCCAGTTGTCTTCACAAAGTGAAAGGCAATCATGCTTGTGTTGTCATCGCAATGATCACTCAACTGGGGCTTATCCGATTGCAGTTGGCACACCGTGTCCAGCACAAAGTGCGACAGACTCTTGTTCTTCACATTGCTGCTGTCGGGACAGTTTGCGAATAGTTTGAGGGCCATTAGCATGGGATTTTGGTGGCGCATCAGTGCATTGATTAGATCCTGTCTCATGTAAGGTGATGATTTGCACTTGCTGTGCATGTTCCACTTTTCGCGGAATACAGTGAAGAATAACTGCGATTCGGAGTCCAGTGTGGCGTCGAAATCACCATTTATGCCAGCACCTATTGGGAAAGATTTTGCATTATATTTATAATGATCATCATTTCAGAGTTTTATTCGATGATCTATGTAAAATAAAAACTATTTTATTCAGCTTTTTTTTTGTTTCATACCTGTTGTAATATCTTCGAGACGTTTGATTTTCATGTTGGCCAGCATGTAATCGAGTTCTTCGTCGTCGGACTCAAAGCCAGCCGGTATAGCGTTGTAGGTTTTAGCCATATTTATTTATTTGTGGGAGCAGAGCCCCACACACAATCGCCAAATATAAGAGCACTTGCAAAATTGATAACTAAATTTCATACGCGGTGTAAAAACATATGTTTTTGGCATCTACGAAACTTTACAGTTTTGTGTACTGTTAATAACAGTGGACACTATTCAGTAAAACTGCTCAGTAGCTGGTTTTGTCAGTGAACAATTCGCTTGACGCTTTTAAAGATAAAAGTGAATGCCAAATGCTTCAAATTACTTGCACCGATGATTTAGCAAGGACAACCTAATAAGTTAGCTTAAGAATTTTAGTGAAATTTAAACTTAACAGATGTTAACTTAGCATAGATTACTCCTATATTTATTTAGATATCGATAGGTGTATATTAATAATATCGATATTTGTTTCTTAATAATTTATATTGAACTAGCGAACTTTATCTGAAAAGTTGCACACGCCGTTAATATTTAAAATGCTTAATTTTTGTATTTAGAATTGTTAATACAAATATTAAGAATGGATTTTTTCACTCATTATTAACAGTCATGCCCTTGCATTAATAATTTAGTTTCTTGAATTAATCGTATTTTAATGATTTAATTGGTTTATTATTTACCCATTTTAATGACTGACAATTATCATAACGTATGGCGAATATATGTCAAGTCGTAAAAGCATCTATCGCAATTCAATTAACTTAACCCTACTACAAATGATTCATTGAATTTTTCTATGAGTTCAAGCTAGTCGTTATGTAAGCTTGAATTCATTACATAAGAAAGCTATTAATATAAAATAGTTATATTATAAAATGCGATTAATATAATATTGTAAATTACGGTTGCAGTTCCAGTTCTAGTTCTATTTATGGACAAGACCGATGGTAGCACGTGTAGACAACCAACACTGGCTTGTCAAGATTTATGGGCTTAAGTGACAACATGACATGTACATATAACACCAACAACAACAACAATGCTGACCTCAGAGTTTGCAAAATTAGCATGCGGCAATATCAAGATTAAAAATAAGGCAAACATTTGCTATAAATTGTACAAGTTGCAATCAAGGTTAACTGGCCCTGCTCTAATTTAGCTTAGATAACTCTCTCTCTCTCTCTCTCTCTCTCTATCAAATATATACTATTTAGTTGGCAACAAGTTAGCTGAAGGTGTATAAATAACGGTATTAAGCTAGTGTTTAACAACGTTGCATATGCTATCTGCTAAACTATAATTCCAATTGATTAATTGATCTTGGTAAAGCAAGATTGCAAATCTTGAATTTACAAGATTTTATACTCTAGACAAAACTTGGCTTAAGATTGTTCAATCGATTAACAATATAGATCAGATCTTTGATAGTAAAAAAGCTCAGTAATTTTATTTAATTCAATCGATTTATGCTGACCAGCTTCCCTTAAATATATATTATACATATATATGTGTATATATTAAAAACGAGATTTTGATTTTAAACATGTTTTATTTAGAAACAATTTTTTATATGACAACAGTGAGGGTGTGTTTGTGTGTGAGAATTTCATTTGGTTAACAGATCGATAGGAATAGATAGATATATTCATAAAGTAGACCAGAATAAGTAGAGAATAGGAAAACCGTTAGGCAGTTACCTAAAGGTGAGAGCGGCTGCTGATTAGAAACGAAGATTGTGACTTAGATTGGCGGCAGTAAGTTGTGTGATATGGGGGAAAGTGGGAAAACCATTCGGGAAATAGAAATAAACAAAGGAATGCATAACTTAAAAATTAGCGTGAACTAAAAACAAATCGATGGCAAGGTCGAAGGCAGGTCTGGTGTTGTTGTAATCCAAATTGTAGCTCCATTGGCTCGTGCTTACAAGGTGCCTGGTGCTGGCTGCAGATTGACGGAGGCGGCGCTCTGAATATGTCCTGGCAGTGGAGCGACATGGACTGCACCCCGGGTCTTCGCCACATACGAGGCAGGTGCAGCGGCGACGGCAATAACAGCCGGTGCTGGGGCTGCAGCCACAACAATGGGAGAGGCATGCGCGATTGCTGGCGCGGATTGGATGAGCACAGGTCCAGCTGGAGAGATAGCAACGGGCACGGCAGCGGGCACAGCGGAGGCGTGCACGGCTACGGAGCCGGCAACAGCGGGTGCACTGAGCACCAAGGGTCCATGAACACCAGCGATCAGTGGCACCACTGAACTGTTGACGCCCCAGGCAAGTGCGAACAAGACTACGACAACTGCGAACTGGAATACAGAAAGGAAGAGGATGGTGGCTTAAGTCTCAGCTCCTTGCTGGCTATCCTCAGCTCTCATTCTCTCTCACCTTCATGTTAGCTTCTGTGAACTGTGCGACGATTGAAACGTTACTAATTGACATCTGTCCCGGTTGGTTGGGTTTTTATAGTGCCAACAGTACGGAGACAAATTCTGGTTCGATTCATGATTCTAGCCCATGCCAAATCCAGTTCTCAGACAATGCTTGCAGCTAATGCGGAAACTGATACAGATACATATGTGGACCCGCCCCTCCCGTCCCCTTGACCTTCGATTGACCACGGCCTACAGACGTAGTGCTTTGAGCCATTGGCAAGACAATTGGCCAAAGCAGTTGACAAGCACCAATGTATAAACGCCACCACAAACGACAAACACCCCGATTTGATTCGGTCAATCAATTCAAACACACATGTGCGAGTTTGCACTCGTAATACATACCTACCAATTGAACCACATACACACTCACACACACCCAAGCAACAATCACAACAGCAGTTCAACACAATTGTTACATGTGGCCAGAAAGATTTCATCAGCATTTTTTCAATGTGTTTGCGCTGAAGCTAAGATTTTGCCAACTCAACGGTTTAGTTAAACTGCCATTAAGCTACACTCAAAAAAAGCTCTTGTTTTGAGAACTAATTTCTAATATAAGAAAACATTTTTATGAATATTAGAAAGGCTTGTCCTAAATCAGCAATACCCAAAATATGGTGTTTTCCCTATATATTTTGTAGATAAATGTTCAATTATTCAGAAATGCATCACTAAAAAAACCCAGATTTAACAAAAAAATTCTTTCTGAAATTAAAAAAATTACAATGAAATTTGCATTCTTGAATGCTATATACAACTGTTCTGCTGCATGGTCTCGAGTTCGAGTCTCTATAGAATCGTAAGTTTTTACAAACTAAGTTATATAAGAATAAGAATTCTTCTATGTATACGAGTACACATAGAAAACAACACCCTGGAAGTTAGACATATTTTTCTCAATTTTAAAAAAATCCACACTGAAATTAAGAAATTCAAACCCTGGTTTTTTCAAACCTTCAATTCTATAAATTTACTTTCTGAATGAGAAGGCAAAGTATGGTGAATTTCTAAAATGCAGGGCGATTTTTTTATGAGTGTAATAAATAGCTAATAAAATATTCTCGGATTTGGATTTGAATGGAAAGACTTGAACGCACTTAAGAAAGAATGCTGGCTGATCTAATGGAAAGATAACTTAATCTGTAGAATATATTTGCATAATATTGATAAAAAAAAAGTTATGGCATATAACGGTTTGGGATAAATATTTATGGTATTTGCTTGATTAGATGAGGAAAAACAATGTTACCTTTAAGAAAGTTGTCAAAACGAAATCTTACGTTAAGATTGAAAAAATACAATTAAAGCATTATATAAATACAATATAAAGCTAAACTTTTTTATCACAACTTTGTGTAGACTTCGTGAGGAGGCTTAGATTAGAAAAACCGAAAATGGCGCGTCTGGTCTTCACCGAAAAGGATCAAAATGCATATGATCCCAAAAAGTATCGGGTATGTGAAATGTTTTATATAATTAAAATGGTTGAAATTAGTAATGAGAGTATCTATCGTCACCCAGGTGGTCCACAAGAATCACTGGCGTCAGGTGAGTTTGCGTTTGGCACCCACGCAAAAGAAATGGTGGGAGGATCCCGATGTAGTTGTTGCGTAAGTATTCAATATATATATATATTTATATACATATATATATTATATTATTACAATATTATATGTGGGCTGCGTTTGGCACGAACTGGCGCTAATGCAAATTTCATTCAATTAAAATTCCATTCGTTCAACAATATATTATTATTTGCCATATGATAGCTTTGAAATTATGACCACGCCGCACCTAGAATTATATATGCCAAGTGTAATTAAAGTTGGGAATGTGCAAGAAATATGCATGGGTCATTGCATCAGTTCATTGAATAGTCTTGAAGCAAACATTTGTTTTTCATAATATCTTCAATTTCGTGAAGTGAGAGAAAGCTTGAGTATAGGCCATAACGATATATATGCCACACAAGTCACGCGATGCTAACGAAGCGTTTAGATTGATGGCAAAAGTTACCCGAAGGTAGCGCAGCCCTTTGGACAGCCTGCCAGCAAAAGTTTGCCAAGTAATTGGCTGGATAGTCTTTACTTCAGATACATATATATATATATCGTATTGTGTTGTATGTGGACAATCTAAAGTGTTATTGTGGTGTTCATATAAAGGTTGGGATTAGAGTTGATGCACCCAACTAATGCACCTCTTAAAGAGCTATTTAATATTACAAAAGTAAACGAAAAGTTATAAAACTATTGTGTTCAACTTGCAGATACCCTTTAGGGTTAAATTATATAAAATCGAGCGAAATCGTGAGAGCCAATGAGGGGTATAGAAGGCATAAAACCCAATATTGACCATTATTCTTATAAATATTTCAAAAAGAGAGCGAAGTGAGGGAAAAAGTGCAAAGCAGTCTAAACTATAATAACATACAAATCTGTAAGTCTCACTTGCATTCACGAAAATCGCTTAGAATGGTGTTTTTTTTATGAAAGGTCTTTCTTCAGTGGTTATAAAATGCTTTGCTCCTTGTAGTTTTCAGTTTTCTCTAATAAGGTTTTATTTTAGTAGCCGAAGAGCAAAACAAAAATGAAATTGTTATTGTGGTAGCACAAGCTGTACAGTTTGGGTGCAACTCTCTTAGCTCTGATCCCGTTCCTTCTAATATGGCTACAACAACAGAGAGCACAATATACATTTTTTGATCTTGATACTGCTATTGTTCTTGTAAATGACAAAAAAGACCAGAGTGAATTTATTTCAGTAATCTGGTTTTGGCTCTGCTATTGCTTTGTAGCAGTAGCAGAACAGTATTTCTATTGCCTTTGCTGCTATGGAGTATTGCTTTATTTTAAAATGAAATTTTATGTCTTAGTACTTTTTTTTTTTATATAAATAACAAATAACTAAAATAACATCGAAATCAGGAAACCTGAATTGAATTCATGAAAATAGAAGAAATCTGTTTATTTTTTATTAAAATGCTTTTTCTTTAATTTGCAATGTACAAATAATAAAACAAAATTAATCTACATATGGTTTAAAAACCACATACTTTTATTTTTTTAGTATTAACGTATATGAAAATATTTTAAATATTCCAATATTTACATCATTGAGAAAACTGTCATTAGGCTAAAACTTACATTTCTATTTATCGAGGTTAAAGACAACTTTACCTCTATGCTGGCACAGTGCCTGAGCGTACTAAATGCCTATGCCGAGCTGTACCATTGAAATGTCGGTACAATGGGGTTGCTTGGTTGCTAGAGGTCTACCCACCATTAGGGGTCTTAGAAATCAAGGCTCCATTGAGCTGCGTAGCCGCATTGCTATCGCTACTAATGGCGATAAATGAAGTTCGGGTTGGGTGCAGACGGCTGCGGGGTTGTGGTTGGGAGGGAATAAGTGTAGCTTTTGAACACTTTGCGTGTTCAATAAAAAGGGAAATCAAAATCAAAAGCGGAAATGGTGTCAGTACCGAGTACGGGACAAAAGAAAGTACTTAAGCGGCGCGTCACTCAATCAGAATGATATTATTTTTAATGGTGCTGAATTGAATAGGTGCCCCCCCGCCCTTCCCCTACACCCAAACACCTCAAATACCACTAAGCCCTCTCTACATATATGGCAACCGTAAACACGATACGCGCCACGCAACTGCAAATTGGAAGAGTGGCTCATCCCTTTACTTTTTTTGCTATTTTTTTAATATTTTTTTTTGGGTAACTTGACTAAGACTCCGACCGGTTTGCAGCTGGCTACGGTCTCAAATGAAGTTTGGCCGTCAGCGGCGTCGCACGCGAGAGTGTCTTCCACCTGACCCCGAAAGCAGGCCTGAAAGTTTTTTAAACGAAACTTAATTACATTTCAATTTACGCTCGCCAAAAAGTAGCAATAACAACAACAACAACAACAACAACTGACATGTGGACGTGAACTCGCTAACCGTAGCCAACAGTGTTGCCAGCATTTGTAGCCAACAATTTTTTTAAGACTTGTTAGATATAAAGTCAAAATTTTGTAACTTCTCTGCACAAAAATTTTAGATTGAGCAAAAGATTTAAATACGATTTGTTTAGTAATCATTTTACATTCACTAAAGATTATCCAAAATTTAAAAGCAAAAAAAGGCTAGAAATGGATACACTTTTTTTAAGAATTGTTAGACATTCGTTCTGTCAATATATTTTAGATTGAAAAAAAGGCAATCATATTTAAATACGGTCTATATAATAATGAACCACTCTCAAAATCGTTTTAAATTCACAAATTTAGTTTCTTAGTTAAAGAAAGAGGAAATAGAAAAATGTAGAAAATCGACGAAAAGTTCGACGATAGTTCTCCAAAATATCCTTTTCTCAGTTCACTAAAAAAAAACGGACTACAAAATTTCAGATATATGCAGATTGGCTTGAAAACGACCCATATCGCAAAGTAAAAACTTGCTATTAAAAAGCCAAATCGGCAGCACTTTTACGCGACTTCAACTAGGTGCTGCTTTCCTGCTGTCTGCTGCGTGGCATAGGAAAACTGTTACAGTTATCCACATGCCACTCACAGCTGCTGCTGCTGCTTCTGCTTTTGCTGCCACTGCTGCTGCTGATGGCACTGTTGCGCGCTGCGACTCCGATGAATGGGCGCTGCCAGCGAATCCGGCGGGCGGAGGTTGTGCGACGGTTACGATGCTCCTGGCCCAGAGGATAGCACGCAACGATTGTTGGTCAGTCGACAACGAACCGCGCTACCGTTCAAACAAGATGAATGTGTGGCAAACTTTGGAGTATCTCTCCGGTTTGAGTTTACGCAAGCGTTACAACTATGAGGGATTTGCGGATACACAGCATCTAATACGGACTCTGACGCCATCGTGGCGCAGGGATAGCTACGCTGAGAGAACCAAAGCGGAGGCAGCCGCCAAAAGCAGTGGAGCTGGGAATGCAGCTGCCAAATATGAGGATCATCGCGTTACGAATAATGTTGCGGCTGTTGTTGCCACTGCAATAGCCACGCGTAGAGCCAGTGTTCTGTCCAATGATAATCTGGCCATGGGAGTGCAGGGTGCCAATTCCATTACGACGGCTGTAAGACGTAAGCGTCGCAGTCGCAATCGCCGGAGGCAACGAAATACACCCGAACAGGATGCAGAGTACGCCCTTACTTCAGATGATCTACAGGATCTGGTCAAGTGCACGTAAGAATAAAAGAATTATATAGTAAGCGATGTGGAGAATAACTTGGGAGAAGATTCTTTCTGAAGAAATTCACTTGTGAAATTTTTCAATTTCAAATGATTGTCAAAACAGAACAGGTTCTTTAAAAGCGTCGGCATTTAAATTGTAAAATACGATTTTTGGTTGGAGCTCATTTAAAAACTCCAAACAAATCATTAGTAATATCTTTTTGGTTTTGCAACTAGATTCCAGATTAATACAGTTTTTATTTATTAATGCAGTTTAATTTCGAAAAAATCGAATTTCGATATCAAAGTTAAAAATAAATCAGCCCTTCAATTTGGACTGATCCAAAAATTGATCTAATAATAAACCGTGAACAATCTCAAAACTAGCTGATAAGTAAAGTTTAGCGATAGCAAGTGCAAAGTAACTTGACTTGCTTGCAGTGTACATCGTTATTCGAGAGCTTTCTAAAGCTTAGCAACTACACAAACCAGCAAAGTGCGAGCTTTCTAAACTGCTACCAGACACTTATAAGAAAATTAAAAAATTCATAAGAAGAATGAAATATGCATTTTTAAAGAAAAGATTTTTCACACCAAATGCACCTTCAACTTATGGTGAACCACATCCGAAATGACCCTGCGCACAGCTCAGTGAACCGTCAAGGCGGTTCTCAAAGCAGCCGGGAGCAGTGCTTCACAAAACAAACACAATCTCGAGGAGAGGAAGCTGCATATTATTGCCACAGAGGAATTGATAAAATGCCGCAAGGCATTGTATAACAAAATGAACAAGAAAACATAGAATTTTAAATTTCAAAGTATCTGAACGGCAAAGACAGTCTATTTGTATTTGAAGTTGACTAGCTGATACATTACATAAATTTTAAAGATATACTTTGATATGACTGTGAAATACTTTGTGAGCAGTACAGAAGAATTTCTTGGATTAGGTGTTTTCTTGAACTCTCTGAAGCAAATACAAAAATGTCCGGCTTATACGAATATGGCAATATAGATGAGTCTTCTCATTATTATTTTGTCTGCAATTATACCCTGTTGGCAATTCAATTATACCCTTTCAACCTTCACAAACAGTGCATTGAATTTGATATTGCTGTGGCTTTCAAGGTGCCAACGGACACGTTTGCCCAATGGAAATGCAACTTTGTGGCCACAAGCTATTTGTTCGGTGTCTGAGGCTGTAATTTAAGCAGGCAGTTGCCATTCTTAAAGTTTAAGAAAAAAAAAACCAACAAAAAAAGAGACAGTTGCAGCACGATAGATTGCCACACGAAAAATATATATTGGCAACGGTAAAAGGCCCCTCACTTCCCCCGGGTATAAACCTTCGACAGTGGCCAACAAGTTTGCATGGCGAACGGAAAGTGTTTGCTCAATTTCTGCGCTCAATGTCGATTAGAGGGAATT